TCTCCTGCATTTATATGCTGCTTTGTTACTCTGCAAACTCTTCTTGTTAGCATCATGTAGCATGTAGAAATCAGATTTGGGGTTTATTGCACTACATGTTGTGCACAGTAAGGAGATACGCCTTCTTCAGTGAGATTAAAACAGTCTCAGGGATGGATAAATAAATAAATGAGCATAACAGGTATTATGAAAAATGGGTAGAAGAGAAGGTGAAGAATGTAAGCTTATGCAAAGTTTGCAAGGTTGACATTCTATTACATTGAACAGAATACAGATACCACCTTAGCAGTAGGCATAATTTCTATTAGTACAAATGAGTGGAGCTTGCAGAGACCTGTGTTTTACTTCTACTTTTGCCAGTATTGACAGTTTGACTTGGCAGCATGATATAATACATAAAGGTTTGCTTACTGTATAAGTAACCTTTAAAAATAATAGAATTTGAGGTGATCATTAGGGCACTACACCTGAATGTAATCTGCACAAGGTCAAGTGATGTAGTGTAAAAGGTAGTGACTATGACAGGATCTGGTAGCTGTTCATACAGATTGAAGTATTTATTCATATTTTATATAAAACCTGAATTATTCTAGATCATGTAGTAATCAGACTAGAAAAGACAAAAGAAAAAGGAAGTTGTGGGATTCAATGCAGTTAACTTTACTAGCTCTGAGGTTACGTGTCTCATGCAAACGTGGTGCTTTAAGCTTTGTCTGTAGTCAGTAAAGAAATACAGGCAGGTAAAGCACTGCTCATTCCACCTGTCTCCCAGCAGATGCTTGAAGGTGCTTTTTTCTTTCACTGACATGAGAGGGAGCCCTGGTCACCAGTCAACAGGAGACAGTTTTTTACATTTAATTTAGCTGCATGATTCTTGTCTGCAACAATTGACTTGAGTAAAGGTCAGAGACTTCAGTCATCTGTACAGCAGCCTAATAAAATGTCCTTGTGATTTTGAGCTAGACATTTGAGCAGATATTTTCAAAATCAGTAGTTCTTGTTAAATGTCTGGCTCATGTCCACCTGCCATCTCCTCCTCCAGGAAATACTGCTTTCCAGCCTCTTAGATATTTGTAAAATTAATTAATAAAATGCAAAATAAAATAGTGCAGTATGATTGTTGTTTATTCAGCTTCAAGTGGAACCAAAGTGTTTCTGGAGAAAAGAAAAAAAGACCAAGTAAAATTATGTATAGCACAAATACACAGCAGTTTCTTGGGACTAATATTTCATAGTGGGTAGGGAACTCTTATAGCTGTATAATTTCCAGAAAGTAATTTTCCTAGTCTTGTGCCCTACCTTTCTGGCATACCAATGAACATCAGGGGAGATTATGAGGCTTTCAGGTTGGAGTTAACAATAAAACAAGTAATTTTCTCTCAGATGTGTTTAGTATACTGATATTATTAGTCCCATGTCTGCTAGCCTCTGGATATTTTCTTTCCCAAGACCATCATCAAAACTAACTCTGGATATGACTATGTTATGAGAAATATAATATTAGTAGGAAAACAAAACAACAAAAACCCCCATATTAAAATCTGTCCCTGTAATGTGGCTGATTTTGCATCCTTATTCAGTATTTATGATAAGGTTGTCCTAGTAATTTCTGCCTTGATCTGTAGTGCTTGTACCCCTGTTTGTCCTGTTTCTTGGATTGCTCTCTTATTAGTGTAGCCTGAAGTCAAGGTGAGCATCTGCATGTGGCATTACTCCTTCTTTTGCAATTTGCTATGCCTAGTAACTTCTCACATTGTTACCTTTCTGTAGTTCATGTTTGATGATTTGCACACATAACCAGAAGCCAACTTGGCAAAACTGCTGGTGGATGGTGGAAGCACCTTCTTCATCTGTGTGGTCTTAATGACCAGAGACAGTTCCCATGGCCAACAACAGCCTGCTATAGACCTTGAGGGAAACATCCTGCTTCACCTTTGCTTTCTGCCTATCCTTCCCACTTAATGCCACCACAAAATACATGCACATGGTCCAGCCTGTTCCTGCATCTTCTGGCATGTTGCTTGGTACTTCTGGTACTTTCCTTGGCTTCCTTATGTGGTGGAATTGACCCTTCTCATTAACCCTTCTCTCCTGGACCAGACAATGGTCTGCTTTCTGGTGACTTCCTCCATTCTCTGGCCTCTGAGCCATGTGGAGAAGCCTCCCAGAAAGGGTCAGTTATTACATGCCAGTTGTCTTCCTGGAAATTGTGCATCTTCCGTGTATCCAGATTACTTCTGTGACAGTGAAAACTGATTGAGTGGGAATGGGAATGACTGCATTAAAAGGATCTGAGACCTATGCCAGATTTTTTATGGGGAAGTTGCTCTTCCACTAGCCAGAAAACAAACAGACCAGTTCAGAGATTGTGTACTCCACCCACCCAGCTGTAGTGGGTTGACTCTGATTTTATGCCAGACACCCACCAAAGCATCTACATCACTCCCCTCTGCAGATGATCAAGGGGGAGAAAATATAACAAAGGGTTGAGATAAGGACACAGAGAGATCACCCACCAAATAACATCTCAGGCAAAACAGATTCTAATTAGATATATGAATTGAATTTATTGCTAACAAAATCAGAGCTGGATAATAAGAAGTAAAATAAGTCCTTAAAAACACCTTTTCCCCATCCTCCCTCCTTCACAAGCTCTACCTCCTCCATCTCAGTGACACAGGGAGACAGAGAAGGGAGATTATGGCTGAGGTTGATTCTGCTGCTGCTTAGGGAGAGGAGTCCTTCCCCTGCTCCAACCTGGGGTTCCTCCCACAGGAGACAGTTCTCCATGAACTTCTCCATCCTGTGGACAACATTTCTACACAAACTGCTGCAGTGTAGGTCAGTCTTTCATGGGATGCAGTCCTTCAAGGACAGGCTGCTCCAGCATGGGTCTCCCACAGAGTCACAAGTCCTATGAGGACACTGCTCCATCGTGGATTCCTCTCTCCATAGGTTTGCAGATCCCTGCCAGGACCCTTCTCCAGCATGAGACTCCCACAGACTCACAGCTTCCTCTCAGGCATCCACTTGCTCTGGTGTGAGCTCCTCCAGGCGCTGCAGGTGGATCTCTGCATCCTCCTGGATGTCCATGGGCTGTAGGGGCACAGATACATCACCATGGTCTGCACCACTGGCTGCAAGGAAATCTCAGCTCTGGTGCCTGGAGAATCTCCTATTCCTTCTTCTCCACTGACTTTGGTGTCTGCAGAGTTGTTGTACTCACATATTCTCACCCTGCTATTCTTTGGCATTAATTGCAACTGTGCAAAACCCTTTTTTTAATTCTTCCTTAATATGTTATTCCATAGGCATTACCACTATTTCTGGATGGTGCAAACTTGGCCAGCAGTGGGTTCATCCTGGAGCTGGCTGACACTGGCTGTGCCAAACATGGGGAAACTTCTGGCAGCTTCTCACAGAAGCCACCCCTGTAGCCCTCAGCTACTAAATCCAGTCCATGCAAACATCAGCTTAATTCAGGGTAACATTTTGAAGACAACCTGCCAGCATACAAGTTTGCCTATAGAAATATCCTTTTAATACAAAGATAAAATAAATACTTTGGTGTTGCAATGAAACTGTATCTTGTAGGTTTTCACAGTTCTTTGCTAGGGAACAGCAAGAAGTGGAAAAGTGCCATGTCTAGTCCCTAAAGTAGTTGCTGCTACTGTTACCACTCATCTGTATGGTGTATCTTCCTCTTTGGGCTTACACATGTGCTAGCAGGGTGTTGGAGGCTATTTATTCCCGAGGCAAAAGAAGGGAAACCCAATCATAGGGCAGAATTCTAGAATAAGTAAAATGACTGCATCTGGTTTCATCATCCATCTGCTATCAGCTTACATTTCCCTGCCATCAGACCATCATGTCACATTGCAGTCTGAGACAGCACCTGCAAACTAATCAAGTAAAAATATATAATGAGGAGGATTTTATTTAAGTTTCTCTGTCTACAAAAACAAGGATCTCCTTCCACATACAGGTGGGTTTTGATACATCATAAGACATGTCACCATGCTGTGTAATGAGAACTATGCTGTAGTTTGACTGGTGAAAAAAAGAGAATTTTCACCCTGAGTCTCCTGATTTGTTTTTTATTGACACTTTAGTAGGACAGTAGGTAATACTTAAAATAGAGGGATGAACTTTTGAGTTCAGGTTTGAACTAAATCCAGTTTTTAAATTACTGTAGCAGTTTCTTCATTTTTGGCACAGTGTTCTTCTTCTGGAAATGGCAATCCATGGCAAGCCAATCATACTGCCACAATAACAGTGCTCTGCAAAGTTTTGGTACAATATGAAGGGTGAGCAGAGATTGTCTTTAAGCTATCTTTGTAGGTAAAAACAGGCCCCATCAAATTCAACTTAGATCAGGACTTCATCAAAGAGAGAGATTTAACATATCATTTATATTTAGAAGACATAAAATATGACTTTGGGATCACTTCATTATGTATTATTTGTTTAAATGTACCCTGACTCAATTACAATTCTGTTTCTGTAAAATATTTTGCTTTCTATACAAATTGCTGAAAAGAATATTCAAAATATCAGTATGTGATAAGCACTTAGTATTCGCAGGATCTTCTGAAAAGCCCATCTGCTATGCAAATTAATATCTAAGAGTAATTTCTGAATGGGGATTCATAAAGGCATGGTTCAGAAAAATAATTAGCATATGTTTACCTTTCAGTGATTTCTGTAAAATACAGATTTTTATTTGAATACTTTATACAACGAAGAATGATTTTCCAAGCTGAGGTTGTATTCATTACAACTAGTAATATCAATATATTGTTTGCTTATTAACAGATTTCCATTTTATTTGCTCATTCCTTCACCAGATTCAATATACAGTATGGAAAACACATTAATTCATTTAATTATTCACAAAGCATGTTGTACATGGTTGTGTTATTCCCCACCCCGTGGGAGGAGGTGACTCTTTTTCTCAGGAGCACGTTTTCCCATCTGAGTCTTTCTGTCCTGTCCCCTAGTACACCTGGTGGACATCTGGAATGTGATCGAAGCCTTGAGGGAGAACGCCCTGAACAACTTGGATCCCAGCATCGAGCTGAACGTGGCTCGTCTGGAAGCTGTGATTTCAACCATCTTCTACCAGCTCAACAAACGGATGCCAACGACCCATCAGATCAACGTGGAGCAGTCCATCAGCTTGCTGCTCAACTTCCTGCTAGCGGCCTTCGATCCGTAAGTCTGCCTTTCCTCCCTCCTCTCCCAGCTGATGAAAGGATTTTACTTCCTCCAGAAATATCTCTTGAAATCAATTGAGCAGGCTCAATTCTGTCCCACATAATGAGCATGTGAATAGTGCTAACTAGGGAGATAACCTAAATTAAGGGCCTCTGCTTTCCTTTCTTTTGAGCCAAATTCAGCACAACTGTGTTTTCATCCAGCTACTCAGACTTGTTCCAGTTTATATCAAAGAAGAATCATCTACAGAAACAAATTCACATGCGCTTCTAATTTGGCTTGTTGTTTATTGACACACCAGTGGCTGACACCACTGCATTGCCTCTGCAGCAGTGCCATGGGTTAATAGCTCATTATTTTGAAAGAGCTCATTTCCCTGCAAGTTCTTGCAGCTGTAAGCAATTTTTTTTTCTGGCTCATGCCAGTGCAGCATGATTTTGAGACCATAACAGAAATAGGATTAAAGACCTGGAGGTGATGAAATTCATGTTGTTTATTACTGCATGGGATTCATATTACAAAAAGAACAAGTTTGAGACAGAGCAAACCACTTAAAATAATGCGTATTCTGCGTATATCTGTTGTAATTTCTGAATACAGTGTTGGTAACCTGTACTGCAATATTTGCAGTCCTCAAAACTCAGTTATTGGAGAACAGCAATTCAATCTGACTGGTGCAGATGTTGACACTTTATGGCTTATCTTTTGAAAATTCATCAGGAGAAAACACTGGCCATTAAACATTAAAATAGGATGCTTCCCCTCTCTCTTCCCAGTTCTCTCTCTCACTGCCCTGGTACAGGATGTCATTGAGCACCTCTCAGTGCCAGACCAGCCAGTGGCTCAGTTGCCATGGCAACGGGGAGAAAAAATAGGTGTTCCACATGAGAAGGCTGCACTCAACCTCTCCTCCTGCCCTTCTGAGAGGAAGAAAAGCCATTCCATTGTGAAATCATAGCCTTCAAGAATATTTTCCTCCCCTTAAGGGCAATAAAAGAAGGAACAGGCATTTTAATTCATACCATTGTGGCTGTGACAAGCACACTAAAGATGCTGGAAATTACCAGATGCATTTACTGCTGCATGCCACAAGTAAACTGCTTCCTAGCTGGTAAACATATGGAAAGACCCTGGTCTGTGGAACCAAGACCTGTGATACTGTGCTTATTTTGTAGCTCACTGTAAAGGGGTAATGATCTCAACTACACAACACAGCTGTTTGCAGCATAATGGAGTAGAGGAATTTAGTCCCCTAGAGGGAATCAGAGCATATTTTTAAGGGGATAAGGTTTTGCTTCCCCTGAAAACATCCCATGTGCTGTGTCTGGGATCCCATCAGGATCCCCCTGGGGTAAAGAAGCTGTGACCCTCACTCCATTAGTCAAGAAGCAGCTCAGTCTGTTGTGCTGCCTCTGAGTATAGTGCACGGGATACACTTCCAGAAGGGCAGAGACACACAAGGAATCCTTAGGAAGAGGCTCCCAGCTCTGAGGTCAGAGATAGAGACTAGCTGCCTATCACTCCATATTAAATTCACCAAACATATGAGATGGTGTTCATGTGCAACCTGAGATACTTAAGTTCAGATTTCATGGAGAAAGATGTCAGCAAGGTCTCCCTGTACTGTAATGGGAGTCTAGACACCTGCCACAAATAAAGACATACCAGTTAAGCATCTGATTATCAAAATGTGCCCTACACTTTAGTATGACTCACCATTGAAGTTTTGTGTTGGATATTGGTTTTAACAGCCACTGGTGATTCAGGTTTCCTGGTTTTTCTGGGAAACAGAGGGAGGGAGGTGGCTCTACATGCCACAGGGACAGTGTGAGAGCTGCTGGGGTCTAACCAGAGCTGCTGTCTCTGCTTCCTGTGTGGGTCCTTTCTCTCCCCTCCAGAGCAGCAAAAAGGTCATTGTCTGTTGAAAGTTAGAAGTTGGTGGAAATAGGAGCAAGGACTTGTGGTCTCATGTTCAGGGAGAAGCAATGCTTTGCAAGCTATCCAGAGGGACTCAGCTGGCTGGAGAAGTGGCCCCATAGGAATATCCTCATGAGGTTCAGCAAGGCCAAGTGCAAGGTGCTGCAGGTCCAGAGAAGGTGGTGCAGCTTTTCATGTCCCATTTGAAATCCAAAGAAAGTGGAGAAATGGAGTCTGCGACCTAGTGTATATGAAAGGACCACAAGGGCCAAGTTATTTCATGTTTTAAAATCTTAACAATCCTGCCACTGTCTCATTTATTTATGCATAGTTAATATATATGTTGCTCTTTATGTATTGTACTGGCTGAAGTTCCTCCAAACTTTAAACAGAGCCTCTTCCTTCTTTTATAGCCTGCTGAAATCCTGGCAGGTTTCTCTGCCCTCTGGCAAGGAGTGTTTCCTTAGGCCTGCAATACAGATGTCTTCTCAGGAGCTACAACTTGGCTAGCAAAACACAAAAGGACCACAGTGTGCTGCCATGGCATGTGGGCAAATTTAGCCACTGCCGGTGCTGAGCTTACATCCCCTTCTCTATGGGTTTTTTATGGTCTTAGGGATTCATTAGGCCCACAGATAATTATATTTCTCTGCTGAAAGGAGAAAAAGTGGGGGAAAATTACAGTGTATAGAATTTCATGTGAGACTGAATGGGATGTTCCTTCGTGCTGCTAAAAGTAAACTAAAGTACAACCTTATAAAACTGCAAGCCAACAAATTCAAAATTCACAAACAGAAATACTTCTCCAATTTATTTATCATTAGTGTGTGGAAGTCAGCATCATGTGGTAAATGACCCCGACAGACCAAAACCAGTGAGCAGAATGAGGTGGTCAGACTTTAGAAAAATCTAGACAGAAACATGCCTGATCTACATTTTTAACCACAGGTTAAAATTAGGCAATAGCTTTTGCTTCAAGACCTAAGGTGATTAACTGGCTTTATGAAACAATAGCACACTTCCTTCACTTCCTTACACCAAGTACTCCAGAAAAAGTTGACAAGCACAAACCTCTCTGAAAAATTTCTCCCAGGCTGGGATGAAAGCCTAGGCAGCAAGGTGGAATGTCAGCCTCATTCAGTCGAGTTGTTCTCCAAAAACCTCCTTTTAAACAGAGTGTGAAATATTCTGTGCTAGATCATCTCCAGCTATTCCTGCTGCAAAGTTTAACTGATAAGGAAATAGCTGAATTTTCTCTGTTCCTTGACATACACTAGCCTATGTATACAGTTGTGGGTCCTGGGCTATGAAACAGACCTTGCCTGGCTTGGGGGGAACTTGACTTCTACAGAGAAATGAGGAAATATTCATGCCCTTCTTTAATCAAATGAACATTTGAATTGTACTGAATTGTTTCAGTATATAAAGATGATCAATATCCATTTTGGAAATACAACTTCTTGCTCATTCATCTATTCAGAGCAGTAAAGTGTTTAATTCCCTCTCTTTTCTACCTTTGCCACTCATTGAAAGCCACAGAGGCATTTACAAAGGAAGTCCAGCAAAAAAAATACATTTCAGAGATTTGGACATTATGCATTTTGCTCTCCTACATGAAAGAATCTCAGTAAATCTCAATAAAATTTTATCTCTAAAACCTCGTGAAAACGGGAATTTGTAATTACAGCCTCTGACACTTCAGAATTGACTGCCCTGGTTACGCTGGCTAGTAACCAACAACTGAAGAACTTTTGTTACTTTTGCAAAAGATACCTTAAAGTATTGGGAGAGTACCACTTAAGCCTCACTAGTGAGAGAAATGGTATTTTCTCAATGCCCTTTTCATGGGACACAATTGCTGTTTCTAAAGATGTGATGCTATTTCTTGATGGCTTTCCCCACCATGTGGCTATCTCAGTATGGGTGTTGCTAGAGATTCTGACAAATGACGGTGTCATCTATCTGGTACCACTCTCCTTGATGACCCAAACAGCAAATTCAGGCCCTGGAGCTGGACTCAGCCTTGAATGGTCTGTGGATTTTGTCAAGCATTCTGTGGGGTTCCCTTGCTCTGGGGACAGGCTGTCTCTCTCTGCAGCTATGCAGTGGAAGAGGAAACCTTCTTTGCTCTGGTGTCTAAAAGCATGTATAATTTTTTGCCCATTTTTCCCCAAGTAGAAGGAGATAACCTTCAACCCTGGCTATCGTTACCTTTCCTGTGTACTCCATCCTGTATTGTTAAATGCACATCAGCTGCAAGGTTTGCATTTGATATCATTTATGCTTCCTGCTGAAGAGTAACCTCAGTAAGAGAGATGCAATATAAAATCAAAATATTTGCTGTCCTCTCCTGTTTCCACTAGTAAAATTTATTTCTCTTTGCATTAGCCAACCCAAAGCTGCTTTCAGGGAGCTCGGACTTCTCCCAAGATCTTCCTGCTGCTATGAGCCACTGCCTCAGCATTTGCTTTTGCACAGCAAACACTGTAAGGCCTCAGTGCTGCCAGTCAGGGGCATCTGTAGTGCTTAGACAAAGCTTAGGGCACTTTTGGATATCCAAATTATATTGGTGAGTCTTAGGCCCTGTTACCCTATCTGCTCATCAGTCATGTGTATTTAAATATGCATGTGTGTATATGCACAGACACACACACACACACACACACTCACAGAGAGACATATATTTGAAGGGCAAATTTGGTTTATACTGGCTCTTCTGATGCTTTTAGGAATACAAATCACCAATAAAATATACAGTGTCAAAATGAATCAACTCGAATGGAGATTGAAGAGATAAATCATATCTTTTCTTTTTCTGTTTCTCTCTTCTATAACCATTTGAATATGGGAAAAGCCAGTGGCTCTAGGGTGGAAAGCTGAAGACAAGTCGATATGTGTCTGCCATGCAAAAATATAATCCTATTAGTAAATGTAACTAAACCTCCTGGGAAAAAATAATCTAAATCTGAAGCACTTCCACATCGTTTTAATCTCCAAGTCTTCCATTGCTTCTTAATAATGCCATTGCTTCTAGTTAGCTGTTTTGGTTTGTTTTGGTTTTTTGTTTTGTTTTGTTTTAGTATAGCAACTCTTTTAAAGCAGATGGAAACCTCATGATGAAACAGTGCAGAAAAATTCATAAGGGTCTAAAGGGCAGCATGCACAAAAAGAATACAGAAGGACCACACTCTCAGGTGTAACAGTGCTAAATCTGATTTACACAAATCAGAACCCAGTCAACAAAGAATGGAAGTACAGAAGTCTGGAAATTCCTCTGCTGTGATTTTAATATTCTGAAGCCAGTCAAAGAGAACTCATGTAATGAAAAAGTGTACACAAAAGTCACCATTAAAAAACACAGTAAATACTTCTTTCTTAAATACTGAAATGGTGAATTAATTACTTTTTCCTTGTATTTCCAGTTGATTTTCTGGCAAAAAGCAGAATTTTAAATGAGTGGAAAGGATAATTAGAATTTATATTTAGAATTATGGGTTACACTGATGTACAACTAAATCTAATTCAATGAACTTTAAAGATTATTAGCTAGTCAAGCTTAGGGAAATTACTCATATTCTAAAGTCTGAGTGATTTAATGAATGCAGCAGTGAAGCATGTAGCATGCATCAATGTACAGATGTGAGTATACCATTCATGTCTGTCTTACATGTATTTTTACTGCATTAGTCTGGTTTAGGATTAGCAGAGAAAGAGGCATAGTCACAGGTTCCATGTCTTTCCAGAGTCAATTAATCTTTTAGTTCTGATCAGATGCAATTTTCTCCCTTAAAATTATGAGTAACAATGAATGAACAGAGTAATTTTAGAAATATTCATGAAAAGGTAAATTTCTGTGTACTACTATTGCCATTGCAGTTAGACCATCCTACGTAGGACATGATTGTATACATTAAACAGGAAATTCCTTATAAGATTGTGCTCCCTAGTAGGGTAGACTGAAGATCACAGAAACTTAATTTACAAAAACTTATACAAAACTTCATTATCTAGCCACATCATTAATCCTGTCAGAATTTAGAAGGAAATGTGGCTGCCATTTTGCTAATCTCACAAATACTGGTTGTCTCTTTTTTAAAGCATGATTACATTGTCCCCACTGGTGTCATTAATTAATATCATTCATTAATGTGGGAAACTGTGAAGTAATGCCATGGAGTTTGGACGGTGGATAGAAGTTGATCCTGTGCAACTCTGGACTCCTACTGCCTTAGTAAGATTCAGAAAATTCCAAGAAAATTCCAAGAAAAAACACATTTCACCATTCACCATGTCAAGAGATTAACATTAAGAAGCAGATGAACTTAGGAGAGCATTCTCATCTTTGGAAAGGGGCTGAAGACTAAACTGGGACTGATAGGTGTTTGGGGGGCTAAGTGTGCCATTGCAGTGTGTGAAGTCATGTTTTACTTCTGCAGCTCAAATAAACCAGGTTTTCTGTGATGGCAGGTGATCACTGAGTACAATCATGGCTGTAAAAGGAAAATGAGGAATGAGAGGAATAATAAAGTTAAGCCATTGCAAGCTTCGGGACAGTTGGGGGAAGAGTTGGCAATGTGCCTTTTTGCCCCAAAACAAACTCTTGGGTGAATATGGGGTTTATTAGCATTTAGGCATTGTAAATTGCAAGTAGCCAGGTATAGCCTCCCCTTGAACAAACCAGGGACAAAACTCTTCTCCATATCACAGCATATGTCCTTCACTCATTCTGGATGCAGGCATATTCCCCATTTTTCAGCAAAGTCCTTCTCCAAGGTTCCTGGGGGTCAGGTGTATCATTTAAAAGGCAATTGTCAGGACCTACTGACAGATACAGATGAAGTTTGTGGAATGATGTGAGCCCTGTGTGCTTTTTTACTATCATTCCCAGTGCTGATTTTTTCACTTATTTGCCAATCTTCTAGGTCCAAAAAATTCCCAAAGGACTTAGGATAGGGAAACCATGAATGTGATAGGTGCTACTGTATCACAAATAACAGTAATAACTATCACTGTAGTGTATAATGCGATAAAGTTTAATACTGAGCTTTATATACATAATAAATCTGCTCTGAGGTCTTTACAGAAAAGTGTTTCCACAAAACAAACTTTCTTTTTAAAGGACTTATTTCTCTGTATGTCAATCCACATATATTGTGTATTACAGTAAGTGATGTCAGAAATATGCATTTTAATTGAACAGAGTCTCATAAAATGGACATGTAAAATATGTCTACTTTCTACTTTTGAACAGGGAAGGACATGGTAAAATTTCCGTTTTTGCTGTCAAAATGGCCTTGGCAACTCTTTGTGGAGGAAAAATCATGGACAAATTAAGATGTAAGTGATATTTTTTACCTGTTAAAAATTGTTATTGCTGGATAATTAACAGTACAAATAGAAAAGAGGGAATTAGGATAAACTATAGTTTCTTGGCTGGATTTGGGAGTTGCCCTTTGTATGTCTCTAAGTAAATTCCACTACATGCTTGGTTGAACTTTACACTGAGGTTTTTAAGGACAAATTGCATACATTGAAGTTCTTATTGGTAGATTTTGGTTTTCCATTTGTTATTGAACTCAAAATACAAATAAGTGCCTTAATATCATGAAGTATAATTTAACAATTTCTTCTGATTATTTTTTCATAACATCTATGTCTTTTCACACATAGAAGACAAGTGTATTTATGTACTACTTATATTTTCTTCCATAGGGCATTCTTATGCCATGTATTTTGATGAACAGATTCTCATTTAGTATAATTTATTCCCAGTTCCCCAATAGCAAATACATTGTTTACTTGTAGCTGCAATGGAAGACTTTCTGTTTAGTCATATGATGTCAGGTCTAGAACACCATTTTCCAGACTTTTTGACCAAAAACCTTCAGTTTCCACTGAGCCTTGTATCTGACCCCAAGAAAGCTGAATTTACAAATTATAGTTGTTTACAATAGACAACTAGAAATCCCAAGTGCTGGTTTAGTCTTCCAGACTTAGTGCCATTTTTAAAGTATTATTTCTATGTAGAAACTCAAATACAGACTGAGCTAAAGTTACAAATTATAAATTGAGCACCATTTGTTCCCTAAACTGATTTTTGAATAGGAACTGGGTCCATCCAGTGGAGGGCTGAAGTACAGTGATGATTTTTTGGGTCAGCAGTCCTGGAGTCCTGTTGTCAGAATTTCCCTTCCAGGTTCCTGGAAATGAAGCAGCTGACATGACAGACTGAAAAACAATAAATGTTCTTTAGTCAGAGATCTCCTGCTAAGCAGAGGATAATTTTAAACAAGCAGAGAAATAAGGGCTGACAAACTGACATCACTGCAATAATAAAAGTGTGATATTTTTATACATAAGAAAGGGGGAAGAGTGAAAAATAACACATTGGCAAGACCTTCATTGCTTTATGTGTCCAAGACAATAATAACTGACTTAATGAACCCATTGTCAAGATTTTGATTTGACGTGATAAACTGGCAGTAGGCAAAAAGCTGATGTAGCGTATCTTGTCAAATCAGAGCCTTCTTATCTGATTAAATTACTGCCTCATGCCATGCATCAGACTTCGCTTAGAAATGACCACGCACAAAGAAAAACAAATCAGGACTATTTTAGTATTAAAATCAGCTATGCAAATATTTCTTCTTGTTTTCTATTGAAAGCAGTCAGAAATAAAGATGCGGTAATAAAGGAGGTTTCCATAAGCCAAACATGTTTACTACTTGTCTTTCAAACCAGATGATACTGAACTCAGAGCACATCTCTAGCTCACACTGAAGCTGCTGTGTTCTTTCCTTCTCTTTCCCCCCTCAGATATTTTCTCCATGATTTCTGACTCCAGCGGGATGATGGTTTATGGCAGGTACGACATGTTTCTGCGCGAGGTTCTCAAGCTGCCCACCGCTGTCTTCGAGGGGCCTTCATTTGGTTACACTGAGCAGTCGGCAAAATCCTGTTTCTCACAACAGGTAAATGAAGAGACACAGGGTCTCAGTCACCCCTCTGAGCAGACCAAGACTCTTTCTGTCTTATAGATAGGTGCATATTTGCCCAGGAAACACAGGGCTGGATGAGGGGAAGCTCCACTCTGCTGATTTCTGGTGTGTAGGTTTGTTGCCTTCAACAGGAAGCTGGTCTCAATAGGTTCCCCATATAACCATGAAGAGAGAGGTTTAGTCAAAACATGATTCAGAGCAGAATCTCGATTTACACATTCCTAAATTAGGGAACTTCCTAATTTAAGCACCAATTACTTATATACCTTTAGGTATTATATATATTTATACTCCAAGACATGTAGTCCTCCACTCCACTTAGTTGGTGTTGGCATAAACATACAGAAGACTAACTTCTGCATACAAAGCTGAAGTTCCAACCAAAAAAAAAAATCAAACCTCATATTTTTCTAGTAATAGACACACAAGTTTAGGAGTGAGAAGAAAATCACCTTAAAACTTTTTTGTAAATGGGAATCAGTATGTATTAGAAAATCCCTAGTCTCTTACCAGTAACACCAGTGAGATAGGGTCAGGAAAGCAGTGAATTTATCCTGAAGAATATACAAGATTTTTCTGCAGCTCAAAAGACTCAATAGGTACACTGAGTACAGCACATTGGCTTCAGCTAATACATAGCACTTCTGAAAATTCCATAATTGTGTCTGGTTGTCCAGTTCTCCAGTGGAGAAAGAGACAATTCTTCTGGCTCTTGCCACACATCACACCATATAATTCCATAAATATGTAGTAAGGGAATATGCTGAAACTGGGACAATGTTAGAAATAAAGTTGTATTTTCCTTCTCTTTATCTTTTCATTTGCTAACTGAATACTGTTGAACAAGTAAGTTCAATGGAGCAGGAATAGTGTCATTTTAATGCAAAATAGAATTTCATTTTTTGTATTCTCTCAGTTTCATCACTAATCAATAGGCACTTCAGTCAACTGAAAGATGTTGAGATTCATTTGTTGAGTCATCTCCCAATTCATTTTAATTGGTAATGTTTGCATATGTGAAACTAGTCTTGTTTCACAGAGGGAGACTTAAAACAGCACTTCATTTTTTTTGAAGAATTTACATGGTGAAGTGGCTTCTGGTAGTTTTGTGTTAAAATAATGAAAGAATGCTCTTGCATGGGAACAGGGTATTCAAGCTTTGCATGTTGGACATGCTGTTATTATAGATGAAAAAAGGAATTTCTTTTCCTGAAAAAATGTCATTCAGACCTCATTTTTTATCTCAGTAGCCATCAGAAATGGCACTTGCTTTGAGATTGCATCCAGCTGAGTGGACCAAATACATTAAGGTACCTTTAGAAACAACATCTGCAAGCAGGCATTAGATGGTTTTGTTTACAAGCTCCACTTAGAGCTAGCAAGACTTAAGTCTCTGACTGCTGTAGGTACACAGCAGGTTTACAAAGCTGCAGTTTTGCATCTGGAGGCAGCCAAGTACTCTTGTAAATCTAGTCTGATAGTTCACTTAAATTAACTTTATGTAGTTCTCATTACATCCTCACTAGGGATGAACCAGTGTTTTGAAATGAAATTCAGATCTTGATGACATCATGATAAATGGTATTTACAGTCTTAGTCACACACAAGTCATTCTTTCTCTCTTATATCACATGTAGCATTATCAGAAGCTGATAGCTTGGAATAAGTTTGGCACTCTCACTCATTCTCACAATGGGTCACTTTTGCTTTCCAGAAGCCTTTCAACCCCCTGGTATATAAAGATTCTTCCATTTCAGGGAAATAAAGAATTCTGGGAATTATCTGGTTATGGTGTCAAATCCATTCAGTTTACATCTGAAAGGGTTTTTCCTTTTTCAGAAATGTTTTATTATTCCCAATTCTACTGGTTTGCTTGATCCAACCATGTATTTTCCTCTGCCAGTGAACCACTGCTAGATTGAATGTCTATTCAAAGTAGAAACAAGAGTGTTTGCTCATCAGCAAATTTTTGGGACAGAAATGCCCAATTGCTGGAGCAAGTGACTTAATGCTTCAGAATACAAATCTGTGGCTCAAAAAGGAGTTTTATCATCACCACTTTCCCCCATAGGTAGGACTGATGTGATGTTATACTGTATTTGTTTTAAACAGTATTGTTATTATTGTAAAAAAACACTTTAAAAAAAAAAAAATCCCAAACTAAAAAGATAGACACTAACTGCATTTTCTTAGCACTTGTCTAAGTGTTATTCCACAAACCTAGACTCCATCTGTGTGTAGTGTATATTTAGAAAACAGCTTTCAGTTTAAACTTTCCCAGCAGCTGAAAGAAAATTGCAGGAGGAAAATGTATGGAAATTGCTCTGACAGTGTCCTTTAAAGGGACACTGCTTTTTCCTCTAATCCATAAAATCAGTGATCACCAGAGCTGTTTGGCCATAAAGCTGTCATTGCCTTATTTGGTGCCAATCAGATTTTAAAGTTATAGCTGCTTTCAAAAGCCCAATGCATCGTGGAAGAGCTGTTATTGTTTCCTCATCTAGTTGCTTGTTAGACTGGTTGTGTGTGTCTCTTCAAGAGCAGAGGGAAGATCCAAGGCTACTCAGCTCTGCAGTAATGGGGCACTGGAGGTCCTTTCTTTTCCTGGGCTTCCTTCCACCTGTTTTTTCCCCCCTGTGCTTTCAAGTTCTGCTGCAGACAACACAGGCATTTACTAGCAGCATTGGTCAGCAAAGCTGTGCCAAGCATCCACAGCAGAAAAAGAAATCCACATCTCCAAAAGAAAGATCCTTTTCTCTGAGCTGATGCTTACAGGCATAGGATGCCTATTTGGGAAGTGATTATCTGCTCTCCATCACTGGGAAGATAATTCATACAACAAGCAGGTTGTAGTGTTTGACTGGACTTTCACACTGCAGTTATTGTGGGGAAAGGTAGTATTCCAGTGAGATTTAGAGCTCATATTCTGGCTGGTTTTGTTCATTAAATAATCAAGACCATTTTCACTGTAGCCTGAGGTGTTTTCTCCAATGGACAAACATCTTTATATATTTCCAAATATCTTGCTGTGTTTCATCCCTGAGACTGTTGCAGTGTGAGATGTTTTCCATTGATCAGTCAGTGTATAAGAGAAATAATGTTTTTATTTACATCTGGTGGTAATTGTGTATAAATTGAACACAGATACTCCATCTGGAAATCTCAGCTCTGAAAAGAATTCCACAACAGGCAGAGATGATACATGTCACTGCATAACTGCTGCTTAACTTTCTCATGGGGTAATCATAGTTCTTTAGCAAGTTAAAGCAGCAGCTTATGCAATCAGATATGAAAATTTAGCTATCCCTTTGGATATGAGGATACTACTTAAATATGTATGTCTATAAAATATATCTACATATATTCTCAGCAGGGGTCGATATTTTTGCATCTTAAATTTTATTTAAGGAAGGCTCATTTGCTGATTGAAAAAAACAAATGAACTAAGATTTGGAATTACTTTCTCCAGACACCTAAGAAATTTAAGACCCTAGATTGCATTTTTTAAATCAACAGGGATATCTTGGCGTTTAAATCTCTTTGAAATTTAAAGGGGCATAAGGGGCATAGGTCTCTAAGTGCTTAAAGGCATGAAGAGTTCAGGAGCAGTTGCAGTCCCTGAGCATATGCAATCTTGACATCCCACAATCAGAGTTCACCCATAACTAGTTGCCATTGCTCCTTAGACAAGCAAAGTTTCTTAAATTTCAGTAACAAAGTGCCTGCAGTGGTCTCTCATTATTCTGTATTTCTTTCTAACTTGTACTCCCTTGCCAGTATTTTCTCTCATTTTCTTTTTCTTGTGTGCCATCAGCAGTGACTTTTCATTTGAGAATTGGTCATACACAGTGATAGCCTACATGTACTTGTACTTGTCACACGATACTCAAAACAGATGAGAACATGCAGAGTTGAATGCCACCCTTAACCACAAAGCATCTTCAGGCAGTGACTCTAGAAAAGAGTCTGGAAGTGAGTGGGAGCTAAGTGTCTCCAACCCAGCCTTGTGAGAATGACTTCTAGTCATCAGTTGTATCATTGTACCAACTAAAAATAGTCTGGAAAAGCTTTGCTAGTATCACTTGTTCTTTTTAGTAAATAAGGGTAAACAGTGTTTGAAACTTATTCCCAAGTGTTTCTCTAGAGACAAGATAAAATAATTTTGAGATGTCTAATTACTGATTTTTTTTTGTGCATGTTTGTTTGCTTGTTTGAGCAGAAAAAAGTCACATTAAACACTTTCTTGGATACTCTCATGTCTGATCCCCCGCCACAGTGTCTAGTGTGGTTACCACTTCTGCATCGACTGGCGAATGTTGAAAATGGTAAGTAAAGAGATGCTGCCAAAACACAATTACAAGAATAAACTTTGGTGTGATGATTTTCACACACTGTAGATAGTTTTGTAAGAGCTACTGTACTGGGTTCATTGACTCCATGTGCTATTTTTAAAGTGACTGGTAAAATATTTGAAGAAGTTTGTTGGTCATTCAGCCAGGAACATGGCTTAAATTGTGCTGTGCTCAGGAAGTTAACCTGATCGTGTCTCTTCCTGTGCTCTGGATAAGCAAAGAGCAATAGGACTTCATCCATTCACACATATATATTTGGTAAACTGTCAAGACCACAACTTTTATTAGCTATGACATATGGCAGCAGAGAGGGAGCAGCTTGGCAGTTTCCGTTCATACAGTATTCCTGGCAGGAGATGTCAGTGCAGTGCAAAACACAAGCCAAAAAGTGCTTAGGAGGGATCTACTCCTAAGTCTACACTGCCAGACCATATCCTCTGAAAAGGAAGTTCCCTGTGGATGGTGTGCATCCAGTTTTGGTGATAAAAGGAAAAGGAGGAAAAGTTGTAAGTGTTCCTGTGCTAAACAAATCCCTCTTCCACTGAAAGGCACCAAGGTGGGTGAGGTGATGTTCCCAAGTCCTTTTTGGCTACAGAGCAACCTATCTATCCCACCTTGCTCAAACTCTTGTCATCCATCCCTGTCCCTCACCAGTTTCACAGTGTTTCCTAGCCTAGAGCAGAAACCCTTCCTGATGCAAAAGTCTGGCAAAGAACTAAACCCCTGACACATTCAGCACTGATCCAAATTTTCCCAGACTGAACCTTATGACAGAAAGGCAGAGGGTGCTTGGGAACAAGGGGATGTTCAGTACCCTGCGGTAAATTGGGTACATGCAGTAGTGAGGAAGGAGGAACAGAAATAGAAGTATTGCCCGTAAGGTGCTTCCAAATATCTCAGTTGTGCTTTAGCATTCTCAGTGACTTGCCTCCTTGTCACTATCTGCTTCTGAACAGAGAACAGGTCCCTCCAAAGGCCAGCTTTACAAATCTGGGCATCCAAAGCTACGTGTTCAACTCCATATATAATGACACCACTTGTACAGATGAGAAAGCAGTAATTAAAAGACAATAACACATCTAAGTACACTTTCATCCTTTCAGTAGTCATGTAGCTAAGTTTGACTTTTCCTCCAAGATGCCTCACTTCAGCTGCTTAAAGCACAACAAAACATTCAGCTTCTCCCAGTGGTTCAGCTGCAGTGGATTTTCCCACATATAAATTTCCTGTCATAGAATAGTTTGGGTTGAAAGGAACCTTAAAGATCATGCAATTCCAACTCCCCAGCAGGGACATCTTCCACTAGACCAGGTTGCTCAGAGCCCCATCCAGCCTGGCCTTGAACACTTCTGGGGCTGGGTCATCCACAACTTCTTCAGACAACTCAATCCACTGACTCATCATCCCCACTGTAGAGATTTTCTTGGTAATAACCTAATCTAAACTTAGCTTCCTTCTGTGAACCCATTTCCCCTTGTCCTGTCCCTACATGCCCTTGACAAAAGCCCCTCTCCAGCTCTCTTGTAGCCCCTTTAGGTACTGGAAGGCTGCTCTAAGGACTCCCTGGAGCTTTCTCTTCTCCAGGCTGAACAACTCTCTCAGCCTGTCTTCATAGAGAACCCTTATCTTCGTGGCCCTCCTCTGTACTCTGCCATGTATTCTGTTAGACACTGAACACTGAACACACACTTTTTTTGCTGCTGTGAGCACGGGGTATGGATACCAGCTCAGAAGTGAAGAAGGGCTTAGTGCCCCATGTTGCCGGTGGCTTAGCACAGGTTGCTGTATTTTCTCAGGTCAGGGCTGTCAGCAGCATCCAACGCTGCAGATTGCTTTAAACAAAGAAGGGAACACCCATCAGTTCGGGGTTTGTCCATAAATTTTTTCTAGGTGTTTCTTTGTTTTGGTTTTTGGCTCACCATTTCTTTCTCCCGCACAGTCTTCCACCCCGTCGAGTGTTCCTACTGCCACAGCGAGAGCATGATGGGGTTTCGCTACCGCTGCCAGCAGTGTCACAATTACCAGCTCTGTCAGGACTGCTTCTGGAGGGGCCATGCCAGCGGTTCCCACAGCAACCAGCACCAAATGAAAGAGTACACGTCATGGGTAAGGAAAGGCTCCTGCCTCGCTGCAGACCGCTTTGCCCTCCAGCCAGCAGAGAAGCCCCCAGCCACAGCTCTGGGCAGCTGTCTGGCTCAGGCGAGCTGGGAGCTGGGCTGGCACTTTGGATTAGTGAGCCTGTCTGGGAGGCTCCAGCCTTGGGAGCCATCGGGAGAGCGTGGAGGTGGGAATGGTCTTTTCTGGGTGAGGATCTGGGGCGCCGGTGACGGTGCGTGCCGCGGTGAGGGCAGCGCAGGAGGGGCTGGCAGCGGGGCAACAGGCTCATGGCAGCTTCTCCCGTTCCCACAGGACTCACGGTAAAATCCTCATTGGCTTGCTCTGTTTGGCTACGTCTAAATGAAATGATGAATACTTAATGCTCATTCATCAATATTTTCAGTTGAGTGGCTGCAGCATATGCGTAGCATTTGGGATGATCCTGGCACTGTAGATTTGAGTGTGGTCACAAGCTTAGATCCACAGTAGTGTTTACTACAGAGAAAAGCTCACTTCAGTCTTTTTGTTATTAATAAAAATAATGCAGTGTTTTTCCTAAGCTGAAAGGGAGCTATCAACAGCTGCCGGAACCTTAACCTTCCCTGAAGGGCAAGAGACTTGTGGACTCAGCTTTCCATGGACTGGAGCAAAGTCCCAGTTGAACCCCTTGGTTAAAAAATCCTTCAGGATTCAAACACAGACATCAGCAGAAAATACCTAATTAATCTCGAACATTTCAAAAGTATACTGTTAAAAAAAAAAAAAAGGAAAATTACGTGTATAACAAAAGTTCCCATATTTATGGTGCTTTGAGTTTATTATTTAACAAAGTTCTGAATTGTAATACTTTAAAAATGTCTGCTTTTGTGTTGATGGAGCAGGCAAGGGTTAAATTGGACGTGGTTTGCTCTGTATGCCAGTCATACAGCCCTGCACTGTATCCTAGCAGACCTGTGTCTGTAATTGTTTTTGTGGGTCCTAATTGCTGCTTGTTGCATAGACACAAATGGCTGGAGTTTAGTATCTGAATAGGAAAAGTGCCCACTATGTAGCTCAGACTCCATTCCTAACAGCAATTTGCGCTATAAAATCCATTTTTTGCTGTAGCCAGGGAGCTGTAATTATAGGTAGGAAGTAATTGGAAAACTTAAGATTTCTGCTCAGCGGAAGACAAAAAATGTGACCACATGCCTAGTGCTTTCAAATGTTTCCTTGCCAGAAACAAATGTTTTGCTTCAAGTTTGAAGTTGCCTTTCTGTAGCATTCATTAGCATTTGTTCAAACCTGCTTAGCATTCTCCATAATGCATTGGTATTGAGCTCCACATGCAGATTGGAAGTGTTTATGGGTGCAGTGGAAATCAACTGTTCTCAATTCAGAGTGAAATTGCATTTACAATGAAAGAGAAAGAGCTTGAACTTTACGTATTTAGGTTGGATTTCTCTAGTAGAAATATTTCATTATAAACTTGGTGACAGTCAAGTTGATGCAGGATGTATATGCACAAATACAAAACCCTTTCTGTCAAATTCCAGGAAGATTTTTCCATTTCAGCCTCTCAAGCTGTGTTTTGGGAGAGGAGACAGTATAAGGATCACTAACCCTCTTTTACTGGCAGAAAACTGAATCACAGAGAGATGAGTTGAATTCCCTGAGAAACCCTCACACAGCCTAAGAGACATCTTGGATCTCAGAGATTGCTTAGAAGGGAAGCTGAGTTTAGTCCCCAATTGCTTAGTCTCCAAACAAAACAGAAAGCAGAAAATACTGATTTATTTTTTTTTTTACACACTGATGAAAATTACACTTCTTACATGGACCGCCCCCCATCTTTTGGGGACAGTGACAGTACATCAGTCTCTTTTGAAGTGCTGTTGCCACAGTGGGGCAATTCCTGGCAAGCCCTTTTCTCAAATTTCTATTCTCCAGTGGTCAGTGGCCACAGGAGGTGGAAGAGAAGCTTTGTAATAGGAGCTAAACAGTACAGGGTACTGGAGGTGAGGAGGGAAATACTAGTGAGGGAGAAGAACAAAGCAGCCTGGTGCCTGGCCCATATCTAGGAGGAAAATGGTGTCCCATACAGTGTATCTATAGGGACAAGCATGCTCAGATCTGTTCTCCTTGCATTCCCAAGCTGGTGAGGTACAAGCCAGCACCAGTCCAGGTGACACAAACTATGCTGTTCTTTGTTCAACAATGCTTGAGTGCAGCATTACAAAAGTGTGGTCACTTTCCCTATAGATACACCCCCAGCCTGCTCTAAAGGCTGCTGAAGGTGACAGTAATTCTTTCCCAAATGCACCACTCTTTGCCTTACCAGACTCTCAGCGTGGGAGGGGGGCAAGGGGGATGTCAGTCCATAGGTCTGTGAACTGTTAGAGCTTCCTGTAGTTTTGTGCTTCCTGTAGCAGAAACAGTATGCACCTTACTTGTCCAGATTACCTCTACCTTCCTTGTTCCTCCCAGAAATCACCTGCTAAGAAGCTAACTAATGCACTTAGCAAGTCTTTAAGCTGTGCTTCCAGCCGTGAACCTTTGCACCCAATGTTCCCTGACCAGCCTGAAAAACCTCTAAACCTGGCTCATATTGTGTAAGTATCTGTGTGCTGTAGACAAAGTAAGCTTTGTTGTAGGAATTGCTTGCACCGAGTGTAGATACTACAGCTCTGAACAAAGCAGGAGGCAGATGTGGTTTGTCCAGCTCAATGCATCACAAGTGCAAATTTGCTGGTATTTAGTGTAAAAGTGTTCTTCTGGTGTGACTTCACCTGTAAAAACCAATGGGATATGTATGTACAATCAACTACTGAGACACAACATTGGAATGTCCTCATTCTCCTCAAGAGATGTCCATGCAATGTCATGAAGTTTCAGCACTTTGGGATGTACTGATGCTGAGAACATCAGTTCTGTCATCTAGAGACTCTTAACTTCAGTGTATCACAAGTATGTCTTGACACAAGGCACCAGAGAAAAGTGAAATCAGACTAATTTTGTAAAAAAAGGTGTCAGAGTTCTCACTGACTTGAATGAAGCTGTGGCTTCACCCAGCCTTGAAGAACTGAGTTAGTCTGCCCAAAAAGTGGGTCTTCAACTGCCAAGTCACTTGATAAAAGTCTATTATCCTCATGTTTTGATATGTTCAGAAAGCAAGATTATTTTTTGGTGTAGTAGCATGTCACTACTCTTTTTCTGCAGGAGTCAAGAAACCCAAAGCAGAAAGAAAATATATTTGTGTAGGGTGAGGAAAGTACCACTTTGGATGGGCTTTTTTCTGAAGCATGTCCACTACCCATAGTGGCAGACACTCTGATTTTCTCGTTTATCAACTTGACTTAACCTTTGCTTCTTGGATCCTTTATAAAAAAAAAAAAAAACAAAACTATAGCTAGAACCAGTTGAAGCAGTCAGTTATTTCAGTTTTCAATAAGGTGTGAGTGATGACCAATAATTGGGTTCTTGCTGCACAAGTTTAGAGGAACAGAGTTTAAGCAGCAGTATCTGTGAGTTAAAAAAAAAAAAAAAAAAAAAAAAAAAAAAAGGAGCAGGGAAAATAGAGAAAAAAAACCCCATTAAATTTCCCATAAAATTAAGAAAAAATTTAGACACTGGTTGGAAGAAAGGAACAAAGAAATTAAGTTGGAAAAAATATTCCAAAAATACTGCCTTTAAATTATTTGTCTTATTCTGGTATACTTCTTAAGAAAGTATCTTTCTTAACCATGTTCCCAGGGCTCCTGATGGAAGCATTTTGGGCAGCAGCTATTAGAATTGTATTTCCATGCTGCATACCTATGTTACTGGCTGCTGGAACTGCTCTAGTCTGTAATAATTATACATATTTACCTTTGCCCATCCTGAATATTTGTATGTGGCATCTCTAAGGGCAAGTGCACACCAGCCATTGTGGGCTGTGCAACACCTGGAAAGTTCACCCAACCTGCCTGGCATTTTAAGGATGAATTATACTGATGGTCTTCCTTATGTGGTAATAGCACAACTTCTTTAAGGTGTAAAAGAGTGCTCTGGTATTCAGAGACAAGGTACCTCTGACAGATATATAGTGCCAAACCCTTGTTGCACTTAATTGTCAGCTAAAACCCCTGCACCTCTCTATGGAAGAGTTGTGGGAGGATGTTGTTCTTTGGCAGAAATGATCTGGAGTTGGATCTGCTGAGCTCTCTCACTGCTGTGCCTGGCCTAGCTGGCAAATCAGTGATAATTTCACAGGGCAGATTTTGGGCATCCTTAAGGGAAATGAAGAGAGACAGAGAGCTTGAAACTGAAAGAGAAGCCTCTGTTCCCTGTTGGCAGAGGGATCATGAAGGCCTGGGGATGTGTCAGAATATAAAAGGTAGTGAAAACTGGGCTACTGTGAATGGATTAAATGCATTTAGGCAAGGCAAGGGGAAGGTACCATAATTAAATAGGAACTGATCCAAAATTTTGCTGTGAAATTAACACCTTCCCTTATTCCTAAATATACAGACAATTTAGAGTGATGGGATGTGAGAACAAACCTCCATCTATTCTGGTATATGACAGTTTCTCTTTATTCATAGATTGATGGTAATATAACTTGGCAATATATATTGGCTACAATGATGCATGAGTGAGAAACCTTTAAATTGTGGAAGTATCAGGATCTACAGCATAATTGACACAAATTAACTGAGGGGAGAGCTATGCTACAGAACCTTGTCGAAAATATCTTCTCTCCAATGCAATTTTTATTTTTAAACATAATGAAAGTTGAAAGAAACAGCTCTGGGCAGGAATCCAGACAAAAAAGGGAGTTTATATTTGCATTAGATGGAAGAATTTTGGCAACAAAACAGTATCCTTTTCTTAGCTTCTAGCTTAAATGGGGACAAGTGCTCCCTGCATTACTACAGAGACTTTCCTTTTGTTTGTTCTTCCACCTTTGCCTGGCACCAGACAAAAAGACTGCATGGCTTTTTTCTTTTACGGGTGCCACATAAAATTTTGAATTAAGCAAGAAATATATCTAAAGCCTCATCTAGAGAAGTAGTTATCAACGTGTCATAAACCTGATGGTAGAACTCCTCCCACTGACAAAAGGGTCATTCTTCCTCTCTGTACATAAGAATAGCAACATGAAAGAAAGTCCAGACAGCAGAGATGACAAATGGCATGGCTATGGAGGTATTTTTTAAATCAATTCTGCACTGGTCTGACTTCATTTCCATCTTGAGCCTGTGGGAGCATTATTTTTGACATCAGTGTAAACAGGTTAGAACAACCTGAAGCACTTTGGAAAATTCCTCCTATTTAATTTGGTTTATTACTGTGGATATATGTTGTGCTGTAGCATACTTCTATTACATAGCATATTTCAATAGCATCAAATGTTTTCTGTCTCCTTGAGGACAGTTAATTCATTATCACTTTTATCAGAAAGCTTAATCACTCGCTTTCAGGAGCTTAAAAATAACCTCAAAAAGGTGTAATTTATAGTCAGTAGCTGAGTTTTGCTTTGCTTTGCAATAAAGTCTGTTGTTCTGTCTTAGCACATCACACAACTCTATGTGTTTGAACATCCATTTGATAGTCAAGTGGAATGTCAGGACTGTGACAGTGGGCATCAGCCTTTAAGAAACTTGCATTGGGAAAGCTCCAGATTAGTTTAGTATATTTTTTTTCATTGTGAGAATTGACAAAGTTATGCTAATCAGGAAATCTTAGCATGGTCTTGGAGTTTAAAGGCATTTGTACACAGGAGTAACTTTGCTTTTGTAAACAGATTAATGACCTTTTATGCAGAGGTTCTCATGCTTTTTGCAGAATGAGGGTAATAAGAATGGAGTATGTCCAATGTATTACTTAGACCATGTACATATTAAACTGACAATTTAATTAATGATCTATTTTCCATTTTATTCTGCTGCAAAAGAGATACTTGGTGAGTATTTTTCTTCTTTAGTAAATATGTTGAAAGAAAAAACTTTAAAAATTGTGATAATCTCAGTACTACCAAAAAAAAAATTAAATTAAACACTTCTCTATGAGTATGGAAGACAAAGGACTGCCTTTCAAATTCATGACTGATCAGAACTGAAGTTTTTAATGTGGTTCTGCAGACACAGCAGGGTTAGGTTAAAACTGTATTTTCATATAAATAAACAAATAAATAAATAACGCTCCACATCCTACATCTTTCTCTTCACAGTTTTAAACTTCTTAAGATCAGCGTAGCATTATCATGCTGAGAAATTCATTTACATGTTTCAAATACCATATTTTTGCCTGTTGTATAAGAAGTTACAGAACAAAATATATAGTAATAGTTCAGTTCCATGCAGAACTGGGTTTCTTGGAAATGGTTGACCAGTTGTCTTGCACAATTGGAGCCCAGTGAATATTTTGCAGATGGCTACCATATTTCAATTTGTGCATCTGCAGAATTCAAAAAGCTAGATAGGTCTTCTACAGAGCCTAAAGGGAATATTAACCAAATTGAGGTCTGAATTACATGTGGCTTCAGATTCTGCTCGTAGCTGATTGAAAGCCCTGTGATTTTAATAGCATACCTTTTAGTTGTTCCTGTGTGGATGGATCTTTTGCCCAATGTTCCATAAGCATCTGCTAAGAAGGGGAAATTTCTCCTTAATGGATACAGAAGGAGAAAATTACACAGGTTATTTTTAAGAGTTGACAGTAAAAGAAAGCAGAGGAAAATTCCTTCTTGTTTTATTTTTTTGTAAAAGCAGGAAATAAAGAATATAATAATAAGATCATCATTACTAAAGGGTCCTCTTGAACTAAATACTTACTCTAAATTTTGACTTGAGGTTTGATGTACTGGTTAAAAAGCTTTGCCATCAAACCAGTTTAAAACTCCATGTGTATTTTATGAGATGCTGAGGGCTTGGGTTCAGTTTGGTCACTCCATGTGGCAGCATGGAGCTTAGCACCAGGAATAACTTCATGAAAAGATGTGTCATTTCTTGGCAGTTCCATGCTGCAGACCTCCATGCTGTCACAGAAAACTGACTGCCAGTGCTCATCCTGGCTGGTTGAAAGCAGTGACTGCACCCTGGACTGTTGCCTCTGGAAAGGAATAATGACATCATGGCTGTTCTACCAAAGCAGGGGAATAAAAGTCGAGCAGGTGGCTTGAAACTCACCTCAGAACACACAAAGGCATTATTTCCCTCCAGGCCTAAGTACCAGTGTATTTTTATCAACTTCTTAAAACCACAGCAACTATAATTGGAAACTATTACAGTGTAAAGCAGAAGATGCCAGTTGCAATGTTACTTTAAACAAGCTCATTCTGTTCTACATAAATACTGTTGCTGATAAAGGGGGTTTTGATGCAAAATTAATGCAGCTGGGTATTTTGCCTTTCAGGCCCCCCCGACCTGTAACCAGCATGAACGACACACTCTTCTCCCATTCTGTTCCCTCAGGAAGTCCCTTTGCAAACAGAAGGTGAGTTCTTGTCCTTATTTATATCGAACCATTTATGATAGTGGTGGAAGTTTCAATCTTCAGTTCCCTCACAGGGGTAAAAATAACCCAAATGCTCTCACACGGTAAAATCAAGAGATATGAGCAGGGAAATGTCTTGGTTAATTTGGACTGATACCCAGACATCTGAACAGAGGCCTGGAGTTAAGGCATCCCAAGCTTCCCACAGCAGAGCACTGAATTTCAGCTTTCATTTGAACCATTCTGACCCACTAAAATGTGTTCACATGCAACCTCAGGCACCCTCCCATAGGGACAGAAAATGGGCTATTGGTGTGAAGACGTTTTGTAACAGCACTATGGGAATAGGAACTGGGATGTGCCGTTGCCTATTGGGAATGCCTGCATCATACCACAAGATAAGGATGAACAAAGAGAAGATGTCTTCATACTTCCAAGATATAGAAAGACATCCTTTCTCCTGTTAAACCATTCTGATTTGCATTAAAATCAACAAGGAAGAAGGAGTAGTCTTGGAATATGGTGACTGACCCTTCAGTAAACAAGCCAGGGAAGTCTCATAAGAAACATAAATCCCAAAGAGTAGGTGCTTGCAGCTGACTGTACATTTTGACTCAATATTTTGGCTCATGCAGCCAAAATATGTGTGTAGCATTTGCTAGCTGTCTGACCCCATCTATGTAAGCCTACAAATGCACATAAGTAAGAAGGTGGCAGGAAAATAACTTCCTGCTGTCTTAGGGAAGATGAGCAATGTGTCTTCCTTGGGTACATTTTATTGTTTGATTCCTGCTGTGTGTGTCAGTGCTTCAGCATTCCCAAGTGACTAAACACAATCTCTGGATATGCACAGCTACATATTTTAACACCAAAACTGAAACCAAACCTGCAGTGTACACTGCAGAGTCAGAGTAAAGATGGTTTACTTTTTCTTTGATTTATGAATTTTGTTACCATAAGCTGTAAACTGTAAATTCTGTGTTATCTCAATGAGAATGGGTGGGACTGAGATGCTTTTTGAAAGTCAGTCCCAAAGCAGCTCTCAAGGCCAGATGTGCTGCCTATACAGAGAGACTGCAAATGCAGATTCATTTCTGTTGGAATATATGGGGGCCTATGAGCAAGGCAGGGTAATGTATTTGTAGCATCTCCAGGGGAGGTCGCTAAGAGCAGCACTCTTTAGGAGTGTTGCTGATGCTTCTGTTTATTCCCAAGAGGTCCCTGTGCTGGATCAACAAAAGTACACTGCTCCTTAGGCCAGGGACCTGCAGTAATGCTCACAGCACTGTCTGCTGTGCTGCTTGTCTCTCTTTACCTGTAAAATACACTTGATTATTTTACTCTTGTCTTCTTTAATAACTGACTGCCCTTAACTATCAGGTTTAAATGTACATGCTTCCTGAGCTGTTAGTATTCCTTTTTTTCCTAGGAAGCACTCCTTGATGAGAATTCCCTGAAGGCAGATGATAGTACCATCCCCCTCAAGCATAGGTACTCAGACTTCCTTATAAGTGGATAGTGTGACATCCCTGTATAGTTAAAAGTTTCCATGATGCAGCAGTCATTCTTCTTCTTTCAGAGTTAACTGCATATAATAATACATTGATTGTATATTAGAAGTTTTGTTACTTTTGTTTCATTGACATAGCAGGATTTTAGGAGTTTGACAGGTTATTCTCAGTATTTTTATTTTCACCTTTTACAAATTTAATTTTAATCTTTTTATTGGAAAGAAAAAGCACCCTACAAACAGCCATGTCAGTACTCTTTCTAAATAAATCAGATTTATTGTTACGAACCCTCTCTGAACACTCTGTTCTCTGTGTATTCTTTTTGAAGTATTAACAAGGTTTCATTGTTTGAATCATTCAGGTTACTTGGGGGTATAAATGCAGCCAGTCCTGTGGCTGATGAGCATTCTCTTATAAAGCTGTATGTAAATCAGCTTCACAACAATTCACGGTCAGTATGAGAGCACTAACCTACTAATCGCAGTAGTTCTGTAGCTCATGCACTAAATCATTAGCAATTCTGCTAAACTACTCAAAATATTCTTTAAGGAAGGCTCTGATGGGCTAGAGGGTTTCTGTGGCTCTAATTAGTCTTTTGAATAGACTTCCTGCTGGCTGTGGGCTTTGCCAACTTCTCTTGCTTCTGCGCAGCACAACTCTTTCCTTTTACCCTTTCATGTAGGATTAATATTAATGTGTTCAGTGGAAGTTGGAAACATTGCCTTTGAAAACTACACCTTTATGGTTCCATCATCAGTGTATGACTTGCCTGTTGTGCTCTTGACCAAGGAATGAAAGAGGCTCTCACAAAAGCCTGGAAATGACTCTGGGTCTCACAGCCAGCCTCCTCTGCCTCAGCTCTCGCTGTGGGCGGCTGCTGTTCTGCCCTAAGCGCTGCTTGCCAATAACCCTCCCCAGACCCCTCAGCTTTGCTTTTCAAAATGACCACAGGAAAAGCAGATCTAAGTCCTACTGAAGCTAATGAAAACTTCCCATTTACATAGTGAGCACTGGATTTGGACCCATGCCTGTCGTTGCTGAGCCCTTTTTCCAGCATTCCCTCACATCTCAGTGACCTAAAGGAAGATCACATTTCATTCTGCATAAAAGAAATACACTATTGCATAAGAACAGTTTCCCCATTTTTTTGATGCAATATCCTTTTCTTTTTTTTTTTTCTTATTAATCCCTGAGCATGAACTATAATTCAGTAAGAATTACCGATATAAAGGTACTTTTTTGCTAAATGCCAAGATCTTCAATCTGGGTTAGACTGATAACTGTATCCTCATTCATTCTTTTAAGTTTTACTTTTACTATTGCCCTGGGAAAATCAGGCTCCATTAGTGGAAGCTCACCCTCTTGAACATCAAAGAAACAGACTTTGATGGTTCTGTTTGCAATTGTGCTGATTTTATATTAAATACTTCATGATTCATATTATAATACGAAGAGTACAAACTCAGAGTAAAATTTTGAGCTGGATGTAATCAACACTAAAAGCTCTGCTGGCTGTGTTTTCACTGCAGATAACTTATGGTTACTTTCATTTCTGTTGCAGTCTAGTCCAGAGGCTTCTGATAGCTTTAAGTGATGTTTTTATGTAATTTTAATGTTTATTCAAAGGAGAATTGGCAGAGAATGTCATTCATAGCATTCCCATGATATTTATTTAAGCTACTTGTGTTCATGTAAGAGCATAGCCATTCTAACCAGTTCCTCCCCATAGCAGCAAATGCTAAATTCAGCAAGCCAGCTCATTCTGCTGCTGAAAATGGATAGCATCTCCCAAGTTCAGCACACTACTATATTTCTGGATACATGGGTGAAAATTGGAAATTAACTGGGAAGGTAGAGAATCTTGTTAGAGGAAAGATCTTTGATAATTGTTAAATGCAGTGACAAATTGTGGGTAACAGCTGAAAGGAGATGGAACATTATATACTATTTACTCTTTAATTTCATCTGAAGCACAGATTTCAAGTGCGTACACAATTACTCCAAACCTCAAAGGAAGTTGGGTTCAAGCTTATTCAGAGATGATTTTTAATTTCTTCAAACTGCTTTACAATTAAAGTCCACTTAAAATTTCTGTGCTTGTTTGCTTAGTTTGAGTTGGCAAGTCCATAAGAGAGCTTTAATGAGGAGGTTGGCTTAGCAATTACAAGTACCTTTCTTCTTTATGTATACAGTGTGGAAATTGGTATAAACAATATGCTCTGTACAGCTGAAGAACAGCTTTAAAGCAATTGTGTTAGAAAAGAAGGAACAAAAAAGTCTGTGATCTTCTCCCAAATACCAAATCATGGTCATTTGCTGTGTTGACAACTAGCATGATTAAAATCACAAGGCCTGTAATTCTTTTGCTGTAGCTAATATTCAGGGGTTTTCTCTCTGTTTTTGCAATTTCTGATGCCCTAGAGGGCAGCAGAACAAGGGAAGATTACTGCAGAATAGGTAATGCCCTTGCAAACCCAATGACTTGGATATGTTACATCAAAACAAGCGAACTTAGCATTATAGAAACTTTTGTCCAGTCAAGAGAAGTAACTCTATTCACTGAATTAAAGTTTTTTTTTTCCTTATTTGAATAATTTTATTCCCCTGCTGCAGTCTGTCACACTGACTTAAAGTATATAGCTGCCATAGTAATGGGTACAATGTCCTGCTCTTTCTTTATAAATGTTTTCTTTAAGCTATTGAAATATTGTATTCAGGTAGGATAAGATGAAACAGAATGTTTTTTCTTGCATTTTTCTCAGCCCCTCTTTCACACATAATGCATTTAGTTCTTCTAAATGAGTAATAAGATGGAATAAATGGTGTGATGCAATACATTCTGGTGAACTTGAAATGACTTGGCAATTGTGTGATAGATAAAAAGAATCTGCTGTGATATCAGATAACTATAGCCAAGGAGAAATTGAATCTTATTTAATGCTGAGTCAGAATGCCTGGTGCCTTTTTTGAACTCCAGATAAAAGTTAAAGGAATTGGATATTCTACCTGGGCATAACAAGAGATTAGGCCGGATTTCTAGTCATCAACTAACTTGGAGCAAAACATACTTGGTTGCTGCTGTTCTCCATGTTCCTATCTCTGAGGCATGTGGTAGACTTCAACTGCATGCTGTCTTTGTGTGGTTTTTATTCAGAACAAGATGAGAAGCCTTATTTCAGCAGAATATCAGCAATATTCTGCCTGGCTAAAGGAAGGCTTATATGTTTGATTGTTCAGTAGCCAGGTAGACACTAATGAGGGCATAATATTTACACCAATATTATTAGGTCTGTATCTTTGTAGACCTCTGCTCACAGCTGGAAGGTTTGTCTCTAAATTTGGATGGAGAAGCACTATTTGGCATATTAAATTATGTTCTATTTTAGCAGGAATATATCTTTAAAATATCTGTTCCAGTTGGAAATTCATTGTGGCCAGAATGATCTCTGATATATTAGTTGTATTTTGGGGAATATGTGGACGATGTAGGAAGATGTGGAAGAAAAATAAGAACAAATGTCAGCTCTTCCAAATGAAGGAGGGTTGAAGGTAGAAGCAGGGACAAAGGTGAAAGGGATTATAAAGGAGGCAGCCTAACCTTTGTATCCAAAGATACTGAAATTATAAAAGAGTAAGCATCTGGAGGATAATAAACAAAAAATAACCACTATAGATTTGTCAAGAAAAATTATATCAACCAAACAAATTTATTTCATTGACAGGATGACTGATCCAGTGGGTAAAAAGAGAAGCAGGAGATACAATACAGCTTGACCTTAAAAGGACTTTAGACATAGTCCCAGATGACACAGAAGTACCCAAAGGAAATACAGACATAGGGAAATTAGTAAAAGAGTAACATTCAAAATTAATAATGACATTTTCAGAAGTTTACCACTGCTTTAGGAGAAGGACATCTGCTGGGAATCTAGAAAGCTGTCCTAAATTAGACAACTATGCACTATTTCTCATAGTGACTTAATGGAAGCAATAGAGTGAATATATCCAATTTGTAGGTGGTGCAAAGGTTGAAATAGTTGTGGAAAGGAGTGCTTGGAGAGCAGTTTCTAAATAAAAGAAAAGTAGATCAGTAGCAATGGTAGTAATTGATGTCCAAATGATCTGAAATCAATTACAGGAAATTCAGTAATTATAAGTGAAAAGTGCTGTAGCAAGGAAGAAAATAGTCAAATAAAAGATTGGAGGATAATTGGGTGGATAGAAATATTTTAACAGAGGACCAAGCAGTTGCAGTGAACCACAAACTAATTGAAGTCAGCAATACAGTAGTTAGATTGCATTTAACCCTGGAACATCATCTGGAAAGCCATTAAAACTCATTCCCCAGAGGAGGAGACATCTGCCTGGGGGTTTGCTGGCAGTTTAGGGCAGCAGCATGGGGGTAGATATGCTAACCAGCATGTCTGGAGTCCAGAGGAGACACCCAAACAGCAGAAAAAGAGAAAAAATGTCACTCATGAGAAAAGGTTGGAAGATTAAAGTTTGCTTAATCAGCTAAAAAGGAAAGGGGCATGGACAGACATGGTATCAGTTGTTCAGTGAATAATCCTTGCTTGCCTGTCTATCCACACTAACTGTGTGGCCTCTGGAGCATAGGACAGGGGAACTTGTCGTTGGTGGAGGGCTCACTGTTAGAAAGCAAGGCTCAAAATCTGCCCTGGGGCCTTTGGTCTCCCACTGTGGCAACATATTTATCTGTACTGGCAGATAAATAAATATAAATTTATTTATATTTTATTTATTTATATAAACAATATAAATTTATTGTTTATACCAATAAATACTGTATTTATCTGCATTTTTGGCTGAAATGGCTAAGCCTATACCCTGTGAATGCATTTTCCTTCTGTAACTGGGAAGAAAACGTGTGGAAAATGCATCTTTCTAGATAGCATGGCACATGTTTATCTGCATGGATTTTGCCCCAGTGGAAGTGCAATACACATAAGTAGCCTGCTGATGGGCAGAGAAATGTGAAACAAGCATTTTTTCTTGCTGTGCAGTACAGCATTTCATTCAGCTATCTTACAAATTTATTATAAATCAATAGGCTTGAGTTCTTAGGACAACCTTTGGTTCCATCCTCTTCTGAACTCTACTGCCAACCTTGCTCTCCCAAAAGGAGGGGAATTACACAAACCTCACTGAATTCCTTCTTTGTCCCAATATTGAAGGTTTTGAAGATTACCAGGCACCACTTTGTGCAACATTACCTCCCTACATACACACCCAGACCCATATAGCCCTGGATGCACAGGTGCATCCATGCTCTCGCACCCATGAGGTGCCAACTAAAAAAAATGTGAATAATTTTTAAAAATAAGAAAGTAAAATATAATTTTGTTTTGCTTTGTTGTTTCTTAAACAAACAAAAAAAAAAAGCTGCAGCATGAAAAGAAAAATAACATTTTCAATATTTCTCATTTTCAGCCAGTGGTAGCTTGTTCACTTGGATATTTAAGTGCTGGGAAACAGGCAGTTACTGCAATCCATTAAATACTGTAATTAGGAAAAAAGTGTGTTTGATGAACTATATATTACTTTAAATCAACAGAAGAACAGTACTTCTGAAAATTAAACTGTTGTATCCTATCACTGCATCCAAATAAATGTCTTTCCACAGATTATTGAAACCATCTTACAGTTAATGTGGAGAAAAGCAATTTAGCTGTTATGGTGAAGCTTTCCCAGCTCGAAAGCAGCATTTGAGACCGTGTTTATCTCGGACTCCATCTGGAAAATACACAAGCCTTCATCTCTCCATTTGTGAGAGAAGCACATTTTGTTTGTCACTTCTGTAGTGGAGGCTTTAATAGTTTGCTTTTGGAGAACAGGAGGAGAAACTCGTAATTCCTGATTTTGCATTTCCTGAAGTTTTCTAGAAAACTTTTCCTTTAAAGCTTCTATTATTTTTATTCAGTCCAGGGCACTCAAATGAGCTTCTCCAAGTTCTATTCTATAATGAATTTCAGACATCACTGTTTACCCTCTTCTTAGTTTTCCTGTCTTATTAACTAGCTCTTCTTCCAAGAATACTGAAGTAGAGCAGAACAAACTGCTGGCTAGGGCTGCTCCAGCTTTCTTGAAAGGCAAAGGGTAAGTTAAAGAGAGAGTATGTTCTTAACTTGCACTAACACAGCTAAACCAAAACATTTTCCTCTATTCCTGCCATTTTTAATGTATTCTATATACATCTTTCCTGAGAAAATTGTGATAAGCAATTAACCCAGTGAGCTAAGTAAGGCATGTTTAAATATATGTATGTACACCTGGACGCTTAAGGTCTTGATCAGACACTTGCAAGCAAATCCAGCTTGTGAATTCAGTGTGTCAATCATGTATGTTACATATCTATATTAATGCTGGTGTGCAGTATATGGTATATTAAACCGAATAATGCTAACCTCACAATTTGCTGTATTTTCTAATAAATACTACTGTGCAGCTCCAAAGCTTTAGTCCCTGGCCTGATCTGGCATCTCTCTGATTTCTGAGGCTGGCTATGTCATCAAGTGGCATGCTACCATCCTAAATCACTAAATACTAAACATGTAAATTACAATAATAACAAAATAACTTCTGCACTTGGCCTGTTGTTTCATTCTGATTTCTAAGAACGCTGAAGTATTAATTCCCAGATTCCCATTTCACAATCTTACTTGCTCCTGCTCTCTCTGTTTGTGTGTGTGTCTGTCTGGCTCACACCCTGCCCCGTTCCAGGTTACAGTACAGCCTCGATGTTGCAGACAGGCTGGCTGATGAACACGTGCTCATCGGGGTCTATGTCAACATGCTACAGAGCAGCCCCGCACGGTTAGTGCAGGTTTGGCACCTCTGGGGGACCCAGCACAGGGACCTTGCTCAACCAAATGCTCTCGCTGTTTCCTCCCGGCCACGAGCTGGAGCAGCTCTTCACGAGCACTAACCTGAAGTGAATGTGTATGAGTGTGGGGTATGTCCTCCCAAAGTTGGTGGATTGTAGCACTGGCTGCTATTCTCTCTACTGAGGCTTGCAAGGTATTGCCAATAATTGCTTAGGTATTGCAAATAATTGCTTAGTTAAGAGTGGCTATGCAAATTGTTTAGGACATTGAGATCTAGGCAGTGCAGGACTTAGTGGTGGTACAGAAATCTTCACACAACAATGATTAAACAAGCCCATGTTTTCAAGGCGTTAGTTTTTGAGATCATTTATAATTTGTAGCTTCAACTTCTTCGAAAATTAGAAACTGTAGTAGTACCTAAATAATTAAATCACGATAATAATTTTCTTACCTAGTGAGAGAAATTCATTTTGATTTTTACATATGTCAGGCATTGCTTTTAAATCTGCCTGATTTCTGCATTGTTTCAATCTTGTATACAATTTTTCCCTGCTTTCATTTAGACTCAGGGGTTTTAAATGAGTGTCTTGAACATAATTCATTGTTTCTGCTGGAGTGATTATAGAGCTTTGTCTCCTAAACCTATCAGCTGTCCTAGCACTTGTGATGCTGGCATTGCAGCCTGCCACGCCAGAGAAGGGAAACGCTACCTCACCTCTTCAAGTGCTACAGAGTTCCATAGACTTTGCAGCCCTGTACCAGCAAAGTGGTGAGCAGTATATGGCCCTAGAAAATGTGGTGCTGAGCAGAAAATTGTACAGTGTTTCTACCAAAACTATGATCAGGAGGTTTCTCTTGCTCATAGCAAGTCCTTCAGTTTCCTGTGCTGCCACTGCAGAATATTTCCCAGGTTAGAAGAAAGTCTCCATTTACTCCAGTGTGTAGGAGGTAACAAGTAACTTCATTTCGGAGAGTGAATGCAATGGTTCTCTGCAATCTTAACAAACTCACTTCTGCATGTAGCTCCTGTTGAAAATGGGAGTAATTTGTCATACCCAGTGAATAAAAAGTCTGCCTCCATTGTCCTGGATCTACTTTTGTACTCTGTAGGCCACTGGAATGTGCCAGTGGTGGAGGGTTGAAAAGGCAAACTAGGTTTTAGTGAGGAAAATCAAAACCATTTATCCTAAGCAAAAACATTTTCAAGGGGAATTCCATTCTTAAAGAAGCACTTCAGAAATCAGGCTTATTGAGGAATATTGACATGCGGCTGTGAAAGCTGGCTCTTGGGGACATGTATGTGACCAGTCACTGCCCACCCAGACTGAGGAAAGGAATATGCTGTCACTCAGTCTGGTGTGACGGGGAGAAGGAAATGTGGCCCTGACAACCATGAGTGACTTACTTGATATGATTGTTCAGGAGGAGAGTGAAGAATGGACATGGTGGTGCTAGGCTGGTTTGCCAGGCATAGCATTTGGATGTCATGTCTAGGATTCATTTAGCTTCAGTGAGGGCTACCAGTTCCTCCTGAGTTTGTGGGTGCCTCGCCTCGTCTGTAGTGTTTTCATCCTTCAAATTTTATTATTTATATTCCAACCTGTTTCCTCAAGGCTTTGAGCCAACCTCACCAAGTCATAGTACCTTTGTTTCCAAATATGCAGATACAAATCATATGCCAGGATATTCAACATTTATTTGGTTTTGAGAAATGAATGGGGGAGTGACTGACAACAACCTTAATTGTTTAAACAACTGATGCAAAGCATAGTACATAACATCTAATTACTGATATTAAATCACTGCAGTCACAGCATCCTCAATGAGAAGCAATTTCAGTTATTTCTATAATTAGATTTTGAGAGAAACATAACCTAGAGGGACAGTAGTCTTAGTCAAGCATCAGACCATACTGCATTGCCATTTTCTGCTTTGTTGGACTGAGACTGCTAGTAGAGAAAAAGAATGGTTACATTTTGGTAAAAATAAAAACAAAATCTTGTCATCCTAGAGCTCCTGTGTGAAGCCAATTTCCAAAGGAGGAGGTGAGACCTCTGCAGGAAGTTCACCTGCTGCATCCCAAAGTCTGGGGTGGCATCTTCAGGCAAAGCTGACCTCCTCCTGCCCATGCCCCAAAGTGGCTAGATGCAGTTAGCTCAAAACCCACACATTTGTGTCAGGATGGTGCTGAGCTCAAGTTATTTCACCCTGCATCTTAAGAAGGTTTGGTAACCTGAGGAAAGTATGCAGTTAACCAGAATCAGGTAGCTTCTGATTTAAGGGAGGCTGCAGCTGGCCAGCTCTGTTCAATCTGCCTGCAAAATACTACCTGTACCTACCCAGACATCAGATCATTCAAGTGCTTCTGGCAGCCAAAGCTGAAAAGAGGAAGGATTGTAGCTGGACTTTTATCCACAGGAAAAACCTGCAGAGATACTTTGTGAGCATAATACATAAAATTACCTGAAGAGCTGTACAGTAACATTTCAAAAGAAAACAAGATTCAGGTTTTTTTAAACACTGAAGCTAATTTATAGCTAATCATCAGTCTAATATAACACAGAATAACTTCGATTTTGTTTTAAGTGCAGCTAGTATTTATATTTTGGGCTTTGTGGGGTATTTTTAATTCATTTAATTAATTTTCACTGCTTATCTTTATTTTTCATCTCCAGTTATTTGATACTGCAAGTAAAAGTACAAGTTTTCCTTTCCTTCTACCACAGGCTAATAAGCTACTTGAGGGTTTTTTAGAAGCCAATACTCCAGAGCAAATTAATAAACAAGAGGAAGAATTAATTCATTATTTATAATAAATATATGGGTAGGAAAAATAACCCTTAGCCAGATATTTTGAATAGCTTAATTGCAAAGTCTTTTTTAATATTTAAAACCAATATTTGATACTTACTTTAGTTTATCTTTAGTGTCTGATTCTTAAAAAGAACTTTTAACTGCAAATAGTTTCCATTTTTGTAAGATAGAGGCTTTGCCTAGCTTGAATATTAATTCCATATATTTCAGTCTTTTTCTTTTCAGGTACAGAAAAAAACAGGATAAATTAAAAGTAAAAGGTTAATTTGGTTTCACAGAGAGCTGTTTTCTGGGGGTTTTATGTTGTACTTCGTAGTACTATGTGAATCCTATTTCTATATAAAAATGTTGTGCTATTCTAGGGCATATTTAAAAATATTTATTAAGGGGGTGTGCACAGCTCTAGGTGGGAAGGCTGGTTTAATCTTCCTTTGAAAGAGGAAAAACATTCAGAGACCAGTTGCTACAGAGGAAATGTGTAGACATTTAGCTCCCGTGAACAGAGACAGTTTTTGTGATTATTTCCACATAGCTGAGTGTTAAAATATTTTGGTGGTAAAATCTTGGTGATTCTTAAGTAAATGGCAAATTAACACTAGTAGAGGATTCAGATGATTTGTCTTGGTTTTAAGTGTCTTAAAACCAAGCCAGTTTTGAAAGTGTGGCAGTTTAACAGTCCTCTGAATACATTTGGTGTGTTGCTGATATGCTTTTTTTCTTTTTTTCTTTTTTGCAGCCCTAAGGCTTAGAAACGGACCCTTTAATTTGTCTGTATTTTCTCTAGCAAATTATTTATTAAGGAAGGGGTTGCAGAATAAGAGCATGCCATGAAGACCACACTGATACTTCTCTTTCAGAAAAGTCTCTTTCACAAGAGACTTTTTTAACCAGTGGTGACATACTTGTAAAACCAGCAGGGAACATCCACATCAGCTGTTGCTGGGTGCCTACTGCAGAACAGGCTGGCTTGACACATCTGAAGCCTGACAAATAGCAAAGATCCTCCCGAATCACTCATTTGCTCATAGGTTATCATGTTTTTTTCATCCTTTGCCTGCAGTTTTGAGATCCCTTTTTTAATAGAGCTACCTTAGACCACAAATGTCCTATTGTTCAGGTGCTAATATTGATATTCACTCTATATCTGAATGGTGATAGGTGCCAGACCAATTATTGCTAATTGCTATAATTATAATGTCTTTAAAGAAATGATCACTAATGGAGAAGCAGTGATTTTTAGAAAAGAAGGAACAACAGTAGGATATTTGTATGCAAAATGTCCAGTTTCTCCAAAAGGATGCCTGGATCATTCCCCTGGGGTCCCAAATTCTGCACACAGATTCATAATATTTAAAACTTTTGTGTACAATTGTCTTACTGTATCACTGTATTTCTGGTTTTCTGTGAAGTTGGTGAAGTAAAACAGAACTGAATTATGGTAAATCTGAGAACTCTGAGACATAAAATTCTTGGCAGTGGAGGCTAATGCTGCTGTGCAAACTTCTGTGTTTAATGGTCACGTAGAATACGTATATTCCAGAAGTTCATTTATCTCAGACATTGAAATTTAATTTTCAAGGCTTTGGGGTTAGTGATTTGCAGCACTCATAGACTAAATTTGATGCATTGTTACATCTACTTTATGACATCCACCCACGCATAAATATCTATCAAAGACATGAAATACAAGTAAGACTCAAAAAATCTGCAGTGGCTTGGTTCATTCTGAAAAGCAGTTGGCTTAGGTGTTAGCTCACATCTCAGAACTCTACTGCAGATTGGGTTATGCCAACAAGTGGAACCATAATCCATTCTTCCAAGATGGATATGGCTGCACATCGCCATAAAAAGGAGAATTGATGCTGAATGCTTGCTGTTTTCACAACCATCTGTTAGGATGCAATGTTTTAGTCATTATGATAAAATTAAAAATTAATTAAGCTGTCATAAAAGTAACCCTTATTACCCAGTTTACATAATTTTATGTGTCTGTAAGACTTGCTCACCCCTTTCTTTCTCTGGATGACATATTAGTACATTAAGCATTGAGTATGTAAGAAGCAGAACTGTATAAAATTTAGAAAAATGCCTTTAGTTTTGGTCTTTCCCAAAGGTATCAGTTACCCCACAAGAATCTCAGTAAGCCTAAAATTAAGCTGTATATGTAACAAAATAAACATAACTAAAACCAGAAAGTCAGTGTTCATCTACCACCAGAAGTCTTACACGCAGTCTGCAACACAAGTTCTATTTACACAGAACCTCTCTGTGTCTTACTTTTCAGAGCTTTACTGTTTTTCTAAACTTCATGTATGTGGTCTCACAGGTTATTATCAGAATGAGAAAAAGATGATGTTTGGCTCTTTTCTCTTGCATCACTAAGCTGTAGCAAATCCACATGACACCCAGCTTTCGTTTCATGATCAGTGAATATCAACCACTGCTCATCTTTCAAACATAACTTTTAAATCCCAGTGGATTTAGTCAGGCCAAACAACACATGTGCACAGTAGTTCCCTGAAGGACACGGGGATATGAACTCACTGAGAAGATTTAGAGAAATATTCCTTTTAAATATATCAGTTCTTCAAAAGCAGAGCTTTTGGCACAAGTGTGATTTTCCTCTGGAGGGCTTCTCAAGTTCAAGGTACAATTTCTGGAGAAAAATTCAGAATAAAATCCCATGCCCAGACTGTTCTGAAGCTCATTTGCCAGCAACCAGTTACATGCCCAGAAGAGCCTGTGGATGGGGAGATTTGTTCCTGTTTCCCTTCAGCCAAAAACCATTATACAGTAGCCAAAGGATAAGAAAAGAGGCCAGACTTGCCTCTGTCTGGGAAAGTCCACAGGCAGTCTTGTATTCCATGTCACAATTCCACATTCCTCTCACCTCTTCTTTGGGACTTTATTTTTTCTCTCTTATATATACTAAAAGTAATGCAATATAGGATTCTAAAGCTCAGGATTATCCAGGGTCAACTATGTCCTCTTCAGATTTCTGGTGTTGTTACTTTTGATGTTTGTCTGCAAACTTCTTAATGTTTAGAAATAGTGAAGGTTCTCGTTATATTACCTTTTTCCTGCTCATCAGACTAAGTAATAGCTTCCTTTTAAAATAAGGACAGTTAGAAAAGTGTTATTAACCTGAAAGAAATATTTGCATTTTATATTACTGGGGGAGAAAAAATAATAACATGCAATATTTTAAAGGAATTCAGCATATTTGCTGTTTAGTTTTTACACTTGTTGATCACAGCCATATGGCACTGTGAAGTCTTGCTCCCAAGTAGCAAGAAACCAAGAATAAAAGAGAAAGCCTGATTATAAATTCCTAGATCAGTGGTTACCAACAGTGAACTGTGAGACCTTGGTAAGTGCCCTCCAAAACTGCCCTAAACACTGCTTTCTGGTTCAAATATGACAAAGCATCTCTAGTCTTTTTCAACCAACACCGAGGCTCCTGCTAATCCACTGGTTTTACTTTTTGGTAAAAGTAGTCTTCCAGGTGATATGACAAAGCTGAGTTGCAAAGTAAATGCTGACTGATGGTTCTAACCACCTCCTGACCCTTTTTGGGCAGAGTAGTCTGCAAGTTGTGTCCTGTACAACCTTTACTGTGGTCTGCAGACCGCTGCTGTTTTCTCCCTAAGGGAAGGTGCTGCCCAGCCCCTTAGAGCTGATCTTTCTAGGGAAATTCTCTCCCCTTTCCTCAGTTAACATCAGCTGTTCCTAATTTGGTGATGGTTTGCTCCTTAGTTCTGACGTGTGGGGCTGTGAAGTGGTGGCTGGCTGAGGCAGAGGGCAGTTTTGCAGTGTATAAAACTTTCTTCCCATTTCCCCCTCCCCCTGAGCAGCGTCCTTGACAGTGCAAGTCGCCTGGATGAAGAACACAAGCTGATCGCCAGGTACGCAGCAAGGCTGGCAGCAGAAACTTCTTCATCAGTAAGTGTTTTAATTAAAGGAAGGTACTTTCCTTCTGTCATGTTCCAGGGGCTTGGCAAGATCAGGGAGATTACATCTGACAGTCTAATGATTAATGGATTATTTTTGCCTATTCTTTTCATCAGAGGCTGTGATGCTTTAATAGTAACACTTTTATGCAGTCCATTGAATACGAAGAATCCACATACTAATGCATATAATCTATATACTAATGCAGTGGTATTTAAATAATTGCATCAAAGGGAGTCTGACATCTTGAACTCGGGAAAGACTATAAAATATTGTCTGGACTAGCTTTGGTTAAAGGTTAATGATTTACTGAATTGGAAAAACAGGGTGGTGAATCCATTTTACTCTCTAGCTCGAATATCACAGTCACTAGGGCCTTAAGTACTAAGGATATTAAAGATTCTTCAGCAGGATGACTGTAATGACCCCCTGCATTAGCCCTGGGTCCCATTTTCATTCCAGTGCAATGATTATTCTGCTCTCTGTGTCCAAAGATAGAAGGTGATGACAGGCTAAAACCTTACTAACTGCATTCAAGAACAAGAGAAAATGAAGCAGGAACCTAATCAAAGTATATAAAATCTTAAATGGTACATAAAAGGTCAGCCTAGCTACTTTTTCTCAATCTCAGTCCATTTGATAGAGCAAAGGTCTCTGAATGATGGTTAAGTGAAAAGCAGCAGATCTGGAGCGCCTAGAAACATTTTCACACTGAGATTTTCAAACTGTGGGGTCAATTGAAAGGGTGAAATTGGACACCACACATCATGTAGACAGTGACTCAGATTCAGACCACATGAAGATGGGTCTGCTGCCCCGTGCAGATGCTGTCACGGAGATTTGACACTACCTGCAGCTGCCTGGAAAGAGAGGGATGCTCGTGTTCCGCCAGTCCAGCCCAAATTAATTATTACCAGACATGTGACACAGTGTTTCAGATTTAAGGCAACCTGTAGATGATGGTCTTATTTCAGAAAGACAGTAATTCTTTATGGGAACATGATTTCCCAGTGATAATGTCTCTGGTTAAAAATCAGTTGTCACCAGTTCCATATAATGTGTCCTTGATGTAGGGGAAAACAGTATAAACAGAGCTGACTTGAAGGAAAATACTGAATTTCTCATTGCCATCCATCTTTGCTCTTTGAACAAAAGAGACAGAAGGAAAAGAGAAGGTTTCTGTAAAGAGAAATCTTTCCAAGCAAAAGAGTGACACCCAGTAGAGGCAGTGGGAATTTTTAAAGCTTTGCTGATAGTCATTCTGGATTTTAAGGAACCAAATATATTAATAACAGTGGGCATTCAGGATAAAGATCCTGCTTCCTCCTGTATGAGTGCTGATATCCACCAGCATGTATCAGTTCTTTATGCACTGGTCTGTTTCACTGCGGTTGATGTGTCATTGGGAAAATATATCCATAGCAGAAAAGATAGTATGTGGTTTGAGGGGAAACATACTGTCCTTTTCCTATGGACACTCCTAACCTTTGTTAGGCTATTGAAATGTATATTCATCCTTTTTGAGGGTCCACCTCCTGGCAGAGGAGGTGCCTGGCATGACATGAAATAGCACTCCAGACTTACACTTCACAGGGCTTTCTGTGGTGAGGGACCCTCATATCACAGCAGTAACTCAGCAGAGTATTTTTAAATTCTTGATTCTTTCACCTTGGAGTTAGAAATAAATGGGTATCTTTTATTGTTGTGAAACTTCAAAATGTCCTGTTCTGTATTGTGACTGTTACAATACTGAAATACAGGAGTGTGAACAAGGAAAACAATGATTGATTATTGCTGATGAATATGCAAAAATTGCATAGTCCAATGAAGCTGTAGTGAGCACTGCCTAGTTTGGTGAGAGACAAATTCTCAAATCATTTTACTGGTGGAAAAAAAAGATTTTGATGTACCTGAAGGACTGGGGAAAGAGGTTTCCTGAAGTATCATGAGAGCATATACAAAAACTTGGCCAAATGGGCCACACAGCTGGACTGAAAACTGAGCACTGCTTTCAAACTGAAAGTAAAACCGTGCTTTCAAGAGAGAGAAGCATCACTGCACTGGAAACTCATCTTGTTCTTCCTGGAGGCAGGTACTGGTTTTTGCTTCAGTGTGCTCCTCTTGTCTGTAGCATCAATATCTAGAGCCACATTACAGCAACTGCCTGCAGCAGTGTCATTGCCTTCTATAATTGGTTCAGAGGAAGCTGCGTGAAAAAGCAATGAATGACAGGATGGTAAACACTGAGTCTTATTTACTCTAGCACTTATTCTGCTTTTACTAGCAATGGTTCCATACTGGTATGAGCACAACATGAATGTGCTTTTTTTAGTGTAGGCAAGCTTGGTACTGCACTTTCTGTAAACAGATTTCACAGAACAGATCTATATTGAACTCATGGTGCATGCTGGCTAGTCCTCTTTCAATGCAGCCTTCTCTATTTTACAACAGCAGCCGAGTCAGCAGAGGGGGGCATCAGATATCTCCTTCACCATTGATGCAAACAAGCAACAAAGGCAGCTGATTGCAGAGCTTGAAAATAAAAACCGGTAAGGATCCACTAAGTACCTGGTTTTGTTCAGTCCCATATGTTACATATATGTTTGTTTCGTTTCTTAGCATTTTTTACCACCTGTACCTGTACAATGTGCTTATACAGGCACATATGTTTCCCCCTACAAAAAAAAACAGAGCACAAAAAGGTTCATACAATAGGATAAAGGCTCTGAAATCCATAGCCACCCCTTGTTTTCAGAAGCGTAATGTCCAATGACATGATATAATCATGGATACTTTACTGTTTGCAGCTGCTTTTTTTTAAGAGTTAGAAAAAAAAGTCTCTTCTGTTTCAAAACCGGATTAACTTTCAGTTGGATACTCAGTAGCACTATAACATGAAATGATAAAAGGATCAGTCACGCTTGTAATGTTATGCTCCCCTGCTTTTATTCAGGAAAAAGATGATTAAAGCTATTCAGAACACAGTCTGCCTGGGAGAGGTTTGCAGGAAGATTAGCAGCAAGTTAGGCTGCTGATCAAATGAGACAGAAGGTGCAGATGTGACCGAGACTGAGAGAGAGTGTCCAGGAGAAATAGGCCAGCCGACTCAAAAAAGTAGTGATGGCTGTTTGTTAACAGCAGAGAACCTGGCCTGGGTACCAGACTGCCTGATGCCATGAAACACATGGCAGCAGAGCTCTGCTCTTAGTGCCGGACCATAAAACAGAGGCTAGCCCAGGCCAGATGGTTTCCTGTTCCAAAGTCTTCACTGCCTTCTGTCACCGTGTAATGAGCACCACCAGCTCCAGTCTTGATTTGCCTTTCATAGTTCGAGGCTGCCTCCTGACCGTCTGCTTCCAGCACATTGTGAAGAAGAGACAAAATTCACAAAGGTTTCAACCTTCTGCTGTGAAGCTTTGTATTAGCCTTTTGACAGCACTCCAGAGCTCACAAGCCAGTCCTAAGAAGTCTTGTTAAAGTGCTGTTCTGTGAATTGTCAACTGCTCTCACATCTCTGTTTCCATTAAAAGTATTTTAGGGGCTGAATATTTTCTCTGATTCTCCACAATGTCCAGAAAGGTTACTTGAATTTTTTTTTTAAAGTTCATGAGGTGCTGGAAATGTTCGTGGTGAACAATTAAAAGGGAGCAGTTCAGTCAAGCATAGAGCTATTTTATGTCTACCTGTGTTTTTGGGGGGGGTGTTTGAAGAATGATTTCCCTTTATGGCAAAATCCTAAGAGTTTATTCAGAAAATAGCCAGAGCCCTCTCCCATTGCTGAGGGCTTCTTCGGTTGGCTGCAAACAAGTCATTTTATGTACATCTTCATTGATTAAAAGCTAAATACAGTAATACTTTTTCACCTCTTGCAATGTCCAGGGAGCTGTTTTTGTGGGAAATTACTTACTTATGGTCTTCTGCTTGTTCTCCTCCCCAAGAGAAATCCTACAGGAGATCCAGAGGCTGCGACTTGAACACGAGCAAGCATCTCAGCCCACACCAGAGAAGGCCCAACAAAATCCCACTCTCCTTGCAGAGCTCCGGCTCCTGAGGTAAGTCCACAGCAGTAAAACCTCTGGCCTTGACAGGGGCCAAACCAGTCATTGTCAGTAAGAGAAGAAGTAAAAGATAAGCCTGGTTTTAGAGGCTTTTTAAAATAAGTCAGCCAATGTGTATTTTATAGTCATTTTTGGTGCAGCCCATTGTCCTAGAAGTGATTAAGCTTATGCTTTAAACTGTGTGCATGAGAAATCCCACGTATTACTTCTCTGCATTAAATTAAGCATATGCATTAGTATTTGCAGAGTTAGGCCCTTAGGTCATTTGGAACAGGTCCCCACAGCCTGGTCCAAATGCCATTAATTATATGGGAAAAAATGTTCAGAACAAATGCCTTTAGAAAGATTTCTAGTTTATGCTAAAGAAAATTAAGAACTACATGAAAATATATCCAGAATTAGATGTCAATCTTTGGAAATTTCCCCCATGTGTTGAACTCTAGGGAGAGGTCAGTTCCCTTCATGGTGCAAAACCAGGCTACAGAATGATCCTCCTTGTCATTTGGTGGGGTGAAGAGTAATGTCATCTGCTGCTGCTGAAGATTTAGAGGATCCTTCCTCCAGTTATCCCACCAAGCTAAAAACATTAATATGGATGTGACTGCATGTTAGTTATGATACTCTACATAGATTTACTAATTTCCATGTATATCACATTGAAGAAGTACAATTATCATTGGCCCAGATCCATAGGCTCCCTGGAAGTCTTGAAGTGCACGTTGTGAGGGCCAGACAGAGAATCCAATAAGAACTATTCAAAATGCTCTGTATGAATAGAAATGAAAGTGTAAGCACTTTCTTTCCAGTGAAACAATGCTAGATTGCTCTGCCCTCTGATTAAAGAACATTTCTTGCCACTTAGCTGCTCCTCACACAGCTAATATTTTAGGGGCCTGATGCATATCCAAAGGAAATTACTATAAACTGTGCTAAATTTTTTTCTTTACAAATACTTGATAGTTTCATTATGAAGTTTCCACACAAAAAATATTTTTTCTGATTCACAAATCATTATTTTGGCTTTCCAATCTAAATACAAATTAGCTTCTTCATTTCCATTAGTGATTTTAATGTGTAATTATTTCTAGAGATGTACAGGCAAGTGACATTGTGTGAGGCATATAACACTGACTATCATGAAAACATGTACACTGTAAAATATACCAATAATGTAGCTCTTGTCCATCAAACTGAAAGTCCATTTTCATCAGGTTTAGGAAATCAGTTTTCTATGTAGTTGATCAGTAGAATTCATTATACTTAAAAAAACAAAAAGGAATGTTTGTGCAGTGTTGGCAGGCTGACTACTTAACTTTTATCTCTTTTCAATTTTGCTACACATATTAAAGCATAATACCCTTATTTTAATTCCTTGATATGCGATGTCCTTAGGGCAGTGTTACTGAATTCGTCACCTATTCCTCACCCTGATTTAATATGCAGTGTAAGAATTATAAAATAACTTTTAATCTCTGGGTCTGAACTGCTTTGCATTCCTTCTGAAATGTTCACCATTTGAAAGGCAAAAGTCTTAACTTTGGATTTACTGGGGAATTTTGACACCACCTCGAATTCCTAGACACTCGAGATGGCACAAGGCTGTTCTTATATGTAAAACATCAGGACCCAGGGTAGCAGCCCCAATTTATGTCTGTTACCCTGCTGATTTTTCAGGCTTGAAACACATAGGGCTGTAGAGCAATTTAGTTCACACAGTATTAAGAAATGCTGGGATCTGTAAATCATGTTGTGGGTACCTGTCCCAGCATCTTTCACAAGCTGCTGTAGTGTGGCACTCACTGAAGCAAGGTCTTGAACACAACACTCCTTCACATTATCAGTACTGTCTTGGAGACAGATTGGAAAACCCCTTACTTCCAAGAATTTGCTCTGGAGTACAGCAGGAGAAAAACCTCAGAGGAGTAGTCTGTACAGTGCACACTGCTTAGATCCTCTCTCCCTATGGAATGAATCTAAAACTCAGCAGAGCTCTGTACTAGGACCTGCCACTTAGAATTACACAGACCTTATTTTTATTAAATAATGAACTCTGCTGCCTTTGCAGAGTTCATAGCATTTCCAACCATTACCTGTCCAGAAAAGAAAAGCCAACACAGGCATTTTGTAGCAGGAAATAGATCAATCTTTCAGAGGAGTAAATGCAACCTGGCAGTGTTACTATATGATCCTATTATATAGGTGAGGGATAGCACACATGAGCAGTCCTGTAGAAATCAATGTTGACTATATCTGTAGTTGCTCACTTAGAGTGAAGGTTCAAAATCAGGGTTTCATATTGCCCTAAATACAGGAAATGTGCTTAAGTCTTGTTGGTTCCAGTGCTTTTCCATTTAGGATTAAATTGTCATATTTTCTAGGTAGTACAAGGCTAACAATGTACTGTTTGTACATTATTTCATTATTTGCAATGCAGTAGAGTATAAAATATATGTATATTTTTCAGTAGTAATGTTAATTATAACTTATAGGATGCAACAATTTGATTTTGTTTGTATGTGGGGACCTCCCACAATTTAGTAGTTTAAAATGTGCAAGTGCTGTTCCCCCATCCTGTGCAGTGGAACAATGCAGAATCAAAGCTGTTCAGATTTATGGGGGCACAGAGAGACTGTCACACTTGGAGTGGCTCAGTATTCACACTGTCACACAACAGCACTGGACTCCGAGTGCAAAGAGCTAATGTCAAGCAGTTATATCTGTACTATGTCATAGTCTTCCTCTTGCTTTCAGGAAAAAAAAACAGAAACAAAAGCATATCACTGTGGGTTTTTGTCTGTATTTCTGAACTCTCTTAGCTTCTCTCATATCTCACTGTGTTCAATGCCCTTCCTGTAATTTCCTGTCCTTCAGGCCATGTCTTTAATTTCTCCTGACAGCTAGTGAGGTTATTGACTAGAGAGTTCCAAAGCTAAAATTGCCAGGCATTTGCACAAGGGAATATAACCCAAGCTTGTTTGAACCTCATTTGTTCTTTGAAGAAGGGTCTGTGTCAGTGTCTGTCTTTTCCCTAATCACTGTTCAGTCCTATGAGGATTCCCAGTGAGAAGGAACTCCCTAGCCTTCACACAGGCACATTTCTAAACCCTGTGCTGAATTCATTCAGTGTGGTTGCTTTCCTGTGGTCTGTAGGCATGTGTCCCATAGTAGGGCTGGCAAAATGCTGCAGTTGAAAGCTGCTGCTGCTGTTGGGGGGTAAGCTCTGATCAGGTCTCCTTGTTTCTCAGACAGCGGAAGGATGAGCTGGAACAGAGAATGTCTGCTCTCCAGGAAAGCAGAAGGGAGCTGATGGTTCAGTTAGAAGGCCTCATGAAACTGCTGAAGGTAAGGAGCTCCACCTGGTACTACCAAGGAAAACACAAAGTGAAGCGAGAGAGGTGAGAGAGGATATGTAACCACAGAATTCTGCAGAACCTGACTGTTTCTACCCACAAAATTTGGCTGTATTTCTCTCCCTTTTTATGTTTTTCCTTGGTATTTTAATTCAGGGGTTTCAGATTATTCTCAGATGATGTCATTCCTGTAGCAGTACTGCATCACAGCACTGTCACCTGCTGCTAGGAGGAGTAAGAAAAAGAAAAGAAACTGACATGTAAAACAAGTTAACTATTAGCTGTAAGGAAAAAACCTCAGCACTGTACACTATTATTCACTGCAGCTGACAGTATAGAATCACTAGGCTTTAAACTTTAACTTTGCTCTTAAATTAAAGTTTCTTTAATTTAGTCAGTTGCTGGTTCTGTCAGATGAGTCATTTGACAACCACATCTACCTCTCTCTGCTCAGAGATGCTTTCCCTACAGCACTTGTTTCATTTTCCCAGATGCAGAAGCAGGCCCTTGTTAGACAAATGGAATATGTCTCAACAGAGGAGCTCAGTTAAGAACCAAAAAGCATGCACATTTTTAAAGACAGACTAGGGTGAGGTGGAAGATGTGTTTTTATTTGCAGCCTTATTTTACCTGATGTGCTTCAGGACAGATGATGCCACAAATTCACATTGGAAGAAAGCGCCCTGAGTAGCACAGGAGTCTCTTTAGTTGTTTCCTATGGCAGGTCAAATGAGTTCATGGAAATTCAGTGCAACTTGGGTCAAATATGGCTCACATAAGAGCAGAAGGAATTCCACTGAAATCCATAGAGCAACATGCCTCCATTTAGATGCATCATACACTTATTTAAATCCATTTGTATCAAAGGATGAGTTTGTCACCTTATGTCACTTGCCCCTCCTTAGACACAGGCTTTGAGGCCACAGTGCACGAATTGGTGGCAGCAGAACCGACTGCAGGACCAGCAGATTTTTGGGAGCTGGAGCCAGGCAGGATATTTTTCGTTCTACCCATGAAATGCTGCAGTGCCACAACCAGCAGTGAAGGCTGTCTGCTGCTAGTCACTGCCTGGACAGAGAAAATTTGATAGGAAATTACAGCAGCTTTCTGCGCACTTTGCACTGTTCTGGTGTTTCAAAGTGTGCAAAGGTGGGACCTTAACCTAGTCTCATATCTTCAACCACATCAATTGCACCTTTAACCCTGTGCTCCAAATTTGGCTTTGTTTTCTGCTCTTCACTGACATCCTGGCTCATCTCATGTGCTGATCCTCTTTTTCTTTAGGAAGAAGAATTGAAACAGGTAGCAAGTTACCTTCTATTTGGATGCCCCACTAACTCCTAAATGGAATTGTGTTCCTGTGATTTGTGTTACTCCTGTGTGTGTGTTCTTTTGACCAAAATTAATATTTTGCAGTTCTTTCCCACATTAGTGTCTTGGAGCAAATTTCACAATGAAACAGTGCTCTAGAAAGTGAGTTATAGCTACAAGGAATCTTTTCCTAACTCCTCTAAATTAAAACATGTAAGGTATAAAAACCACACCTCAAATGTAGTGAAACCAATCTAGAATATAAATTCAATAGATAACATTTTGAAAATGTAATGAGAAATCTTGTACTTTCAAGAAAAACATAACTGAGCTGAAATTAGACAAGGGCAATAAGTTTGAAAGCTCATTTTATCCAGAAAGTCAGGGCGTAGTGTGCACATCTTTAAAAGTCAGCATTGATGCTAACAGTGCCATGAGTCTTCAGGGAAATACATGTTTTCTGCAACCTCGGTCAAAAAGAGGAAGTATTTACATTAATAATAGTAAATTTTAGGAGATTTAATTGTTTCGGAGATTTTTAGTATTGTAATGGATCTTGGAAATATATTAGGCTTAAAAAAAAGGTACCTTTCAGAGAGCAGTCTGATTTATGAGTTCAATAAAAGTGTTTCATTATAACAAAACGCACTTCCTCCTGCTTTCATCAGCAGAAGTGCAGTCACAAGTCTGATGTGTTCTGTCTGTGATACAGCATGCAGAGTTCATAGGTAATGCCCACCTTTGTAAAACCAACATTTGGCTAATTTTTGTAGAGTTGCACTCAAAAATATAAATCTGCCCTAATACCTAATACCTAATACTGTGTAAGGGCTGTCTTTTTTGATTCTGAAGATCTGTTCGCAAAAGAGAAGCTTCCAGTGTGGCAGGAGTTACCTTGTCATATAAAATGTGCACTGGACAGTGTAAGTGAAAGCACATTTTCAGGCTGCTATGAGGTATTTTTATGACATTTTTTTCCCAAGAGTAATAGCCTCACTGAATACCAGGTGGTGATGCTAAAGAATTACTCTCACCATTTCCATTTAATGATTCCCCATTATGCTATGCCATTTCATGATCTGTTGAGAGAAACAGGATTAAATTAATTTCTGGAGGAATTCAATTGGAATGAGCAGCCTGGCAATTCATCTAAAACTTATGAATTATCTATTTCTCCATTGCCCTTCCTTGAGAAAGGATAATGAGTTCTTTACATCCCTGTCATTTGATGAGGCTGTGTGATTTCTCCATATGTCATCCCAGCTCAGTCCCAGCAGAGGGAGCAATGGGCTAAAACTCCTGTAAAGCCAGTTCTCATTTAAAGCATTTTATGTTAGGCATGCATGACACTTGATAGTGGGGAGGTTTCCTGTCTAGCAAGAGTTAAGAGCTGTAGCAGTTTGACTAGGGGTGGTGAATTAAATAAAATACCTGAAAATTTTCCTGGGAGGCATGAGAACACTGATAAGTACAACCAAGTACAACACAAGAAGCTGAAGCCATCCAAATATCCACAGTGGCTGTGGTAGCTCCCCTTTCAGCATGCTTTAATCCTTAGTTGGTAGAGCTGTCAAGGTTTGGGAGCAATTCAGTGCTTGTCTTTTTTGCTGTCCTTACCAAGAAGTTACGACTGGCTGTCATAGCAGATTTCAGACCATTAGGTCCAGCCTTTGAAAACCACAATTCTCCTGATAACCTCTAAGCAGGAATCTGATCCTAATACATTTCATTCCCACAAATGTGGGCTGAGGTGGATCTAAATTAGTAAAATATATTGAGTTTTCACCTCTCTGAAATCAGGCATTCCCTAATATCCTCCTATTTTAACTTGCTGTTCATCAGTTCCATCTCATACTGCCCAAATAGTATAAAAAGTGAGGAGGTTTTTTCTGGAAAAGGAACTCTGAATGCTTCATCTTCCTGTGCTTCTCAAACATTTTGTGTTTATCACAAGCACAAGATCTCAGTCGTAGCTGCAGAGCAGACAGAGGGTAAGCACTGGGTGTGCAGCAGTTTCCACATCTCCTAAGGGAAAATTCCAGCCCAGAAGTACTGGCGGGCATCTGTTATTTTTAGTAAATGAAGTTCATTCCTGAATATGACTTGATGGCATGAAGCAAATTTTGTCCATTTTTTTCCTCATCTTTCCCTGAAAGTTCTGTTGTTGATGTTCCCAGAATAGAGATCAAAGGCAAAAGGGCGCTAAGGAAAAAAGCAAGAAAAAAAGGGCACTTTTCTTTCAGAGAGCTGAGAACCACAAATTCTTTTGCAAATGTGTTTCAGTGAGGATGAAATGTGCTCTGTCAGGGCATGAAAGAAGAAAGCTGTAGATCCTAGGTGCCCTGCCTGATGTGCAGGGGTTGTGACTAACAAGGACCTTGGAGTATCTCTAAGTTGCTCTGGGCCCTTCCTCTGGAGGACTAAATATCTCCATTTCTTCTGGAGCTAGTGTAGATGATTCTAGAAACAGGAGAGCATCTGGACTTTATGTATTCAATTTGCCTTTTACATCCATCATGTAAATGTTCCAAAACCAATAATTAAAGAAATTATAACTATCAAGTCCTCCATTCTTCCATCAGTAATGCACTTATTTCTCATAAAACTAATATACCCTTGATTAGTTTCAGGTGATAATGTCTCTTAGAAAGGAGTGATAGGATAAAAGAACAAATAGCTTAATATTCTGATACATTATTTATGGTCCAGGTCAGGAATTTATAAAAGTCTCAAGAACAATGCTGCACTTAACCTGCAATGGCCTGTCTTTCTTAGAACATATTTGCCAAACATAATCAGAGCTGCAGTGGCTACCAATACCAGAGTCGAAATAAATGCCATGAGAAGAATTAAGAAATCCTCCTGTATTTTTAAATAAAGCCAAGATAAGGGAAAAACCACCTCTCCAGTCACTTTTGACTAAAAACAACCTGGAGCTTGTGTTGCAGTTCCCCTTTAAAAGCACTCAAGCAGCCTCCATCCTTAGCATCTGCTAAACACTGGGTTTCAAAAGCCACGTGCAGTTTCGTGTGGGCTCCAGCATTAGTTTTCTCTTAATGGATACAGGTTGCCAGGACTTTGAAACAGAGGGCGAGAAGAGTGCCTCTTGGTATCATTCACCTAGCTGCATTAGTAAAAATTGCAGTTTTGTAAAGTCTGCTTGAATTTCTGCTAAGTGATCCTAACTGTGTGGTGCTAACAGCATGACATTTATATAACTGGTGTTAAAACGTTTTCACTTCCAGCAGCTGAACCCATAGCAGGAATTTATATTGCCCTATCCCCACAGTGTTTTGGGAGTGTCTGAGTATGTGGAGCAGATAATTTAATAGTGGCTTAAATAGTTCTCTAGCTCCAAATAAAAAGCAGAAATGTGTGTTATTTATTGCAAGTGTCAGACTTTATGTGACTGAGAGGCTGCATGTACCATGAACTTGTCCTGCAGGGAGGTGGAGGGCAGGGCTGTGATCAGCTCTTGTGTCAGGGCTTTGCTGAAAGGGGCTGCTCCAGTCCCTTGCCTGGGCTGAAAGCCATGCTGGTACCAGCAGCTCTCCCCTTCTCACAGCCAGAATGGGTTACAGTTTAGCAGGCATGCATGTGAGCTGGGGGAGTGAAAGGGGAGAGGGCAGAGAGGTCTGCAGTGTGGTCTTGATTAACTTGGATTTTTTTTTATTTAGCTGCCTGACATTTTCCCATGCTTGAAGGAAGTCAGATCTTGACTCATATTTTCCTGCTTACTGTTTCTCTAAACAGAAGCCTTGCTGTCAACTAACAACTGACTTTGGATTATTTCTCCTAGCAAAATTAACATTACCCAACTGATCGACAAAGAGCACGATGCCTTTAAGCTGAGGGATGGGTGACCAGGACAGCGTGCAGGCTCTTGCAAAGCCCCTGTTTAACCCCTTGATTGTTTTGCAGACGCAGGGGGCAGGCTCCCCGCGCTCCTCGCCCAGCCACACCATCAGCCGGCCCATTCCCATGCCCATCAGGTCTGCCTCTGCCTGCTCCACCCCGACCCACGCACCGCAGGACTCTCTGACCGGGGTGGGAGGAGATGTGCAGGAAGCCTTTGCACAAAGTAAGTCCCGCTAACAGCTTGTCCGAGGCACTTGGAGACTGAAGAATCATTATTTCTTTTGATTACTGACTTAATGTACTTGACCTTCTGAGTTGCATGCAATAAAACGAAACAAAAAATATCTGTGACAGCTGCATTTTGCCATTGAAAATCAACTTTGTCAGCCGTCAAAGCAAGCTGTCAAAGCAAGCAGGTAAGCAGAAACTGGACAATGGTGTCAATTAATGGAGCTTAGGGTAAGAAGGAATTTTGATGCAAGAGGGTGAGAACAGTTATCACTGCTCTGTTAACCAGGAAAATTACTATTGACCTCAGCAGGCATTGTCAGTGTGTTTTAAATAAAGACTTTGCTAGAAGTAAATTATATTATCATAGAATTAGGTGGAAAGGGCTTTTGTAAGTCACTGTGTCCTTCTGCCCCAAGAAAGAGGGCTTCAAAGTGAGATCAAACTATTCAGGATCTTTACCAGTTGTGCTCTGGATGGTTTCTGTCACTCATTTTCTCTGTTGCAGTGTTTCACTATCCTTACTGTGTAAATTCCTTGTCCTTCTATCTGATCGGAACATCCCTTAATGCAACTTACGACTGTTGTCCCTTGTCTTTTTGCTTTGGGCCTGAGAAGGATCCAGTTAGACTAGACAGGAATCAAGTCTGAAAGTCTTGGTGAACCCTTTTCTTGCATTTCCAGAAAACTCATCACCTTCCCACTCTTTTTTCAAGTAAGAATAAAATTTAAAGTGTTTTGAATTTCTAAGGCCAGAAATTAAATTATTCTGTTGAATAACATTGAAAGCAAGTAGTCTCTGTTATCTAAATAAAGAAACAGTCCTTATTTTTTAAATCTTCTCTCTCTAAAATATTTGCATAATTGCAATTCTATGATCTGAATGAGTTTTTTCCCTCTTTCCCCAACCCAAATTAAACATAAGTTTAAATGTAAGCTCAGAATTTCCTCTGGTACAGTGGAAGCTTCTTCCCAGGAACCTAGTTCAGCCCTCTCAAGCACCCTTCTCCTTGATTTTCCTGTAAATTGTGTCTTTGTGTGTATTTTTGGACAAGGTTGGATCTGTAATGTAATCAGGAACTTTCTCCTAAAGCACTGGTCAATTCAAGTATTGAACATAGGCAGAGTTCCTGGTCCCAGCATAATGAGTTGCTGCTAATAGCATTTTCTGTGGCAAAAGAAAAACAGGCAATATGTTTTCCTTTTTTTCTGCTATGAGAAAAATCAAGACAGGCAAAAATATGGAGCCCTAGCTCCTATGTTGTAACGGACAGCTTCTTCTAGAGTTAAGAGTAAGATAAATAATGTAGTGGCCACAATAAAATATTCTTAAACAATGCTAAGTCTGCCTCAGGCAAATGCATTTTAAGTGTAAAAATGTGTTCTGTTCAAGATCAAAAGCAATATAAGAAGTTATGTGATCACATTTTAAAGCTTCTGCATTTGATAAATACCTAGGTTTGTGTCATTATTTACTGTAAGCTCTGGATGGGAAGGTCAAACCCAAAGAACTTGAAGCCAGCATTCTGTCACATCTTGACATATGACTTTGTGAGGGGGTTGGGCTGAGATTTATGTCTCCATTCTCTGCTGCACCAACAGAGATCTGCCTATATACACATAATGTAGAAAAGCCATGGTTAAAGGATGTTTTCTCTTCATTGTTTCCATTTCTCTTTCACAGCATTTGCAATATTTCAGAGGCACAAATTTGGGAAGACTTTAGAGAGGGAGTGGTTGTGTGTTTGTAAGAGTTTAACTACTAAAATTTACATTCCAGTAAATATTTGCTAATGTATAAATTTAAAAAAAACCTCTTTAGGATTTGAGAAACTTTTTCAAATGTATTGGTTTGCATTCAGCGAGTTTTAAAAAATCTACAGTAGCCTATTCCTGTTGCATTTGGAAGACTGGCAATTCTGTGGAATATATTGATCATTCAGCTATTCAACAATAGTATCTATGTTCAGGGTTTGAGGGACTTAAGCACACAGACCCCTCCTAAAGAAGGAGTATTCCATGTAGCTCACAAGAATCTCTCATGATTTATGGTTAAGGGAATACTGCCAGGTTCAGCAGGGAAACACTTCTAGATGCATTATTAGAAAGAGTTTAAAAGCAGCCTCGGGCTATTTAGAGAAGCAGTTGTGCTTCCTTTATTAAAAAAAGGAAGGAGGGCTGTGGGGGGAGAGAGAGACAGTAAATTATAGAATATACAAGAAAATCCATGAGCTACAGGAGAGGCTGAGAGGGAGCAGAGAAAATAAATCCATACATACAGTCTTGATGAGGGATGAGGTCAAGTGTGTTTCTTCAACATTTGCCATAATTATCTGGCAAATATCTGGCAATAATGGCATCATTAAGCTGAGCTGTGGGAACTTAGAGAAAACACCTCATTTCTTCCCTCCTCCCCCACAGGCACTGTAAATGAGTTCACGCTGGATTTAATCCTCCAGGCCTGGTCTGCTGGTGTCACCAGACAAATGCAAGCTTGATGGCAATGAATAATCTCCACATATCTGGCATTGTGGTTAAATGAAGCATGAGGGTAGGCTTCTGCTTTTGCATACAGCATAAGTAAATGAGGCCGTTCTGCAGAGATCTCTTCTGCACGTGCCTCTCGCAAGGACTTTGATACCCTGAATTATCACAATGACAGCTTTCAGCAGGGTCAAAACTGCTTTCAACAGTAAAACATATGTCATGTGAATAATAGTTACACTGTGCTTTGTCCATCTCTTGCTTCAGGTGCAAGACGAAACTTAAGAAATGATTTGCTGGTGGCAGCAGATTCAATCACCAACACCATGTCTTCTTTGGTGAAAGAACTAAATTCTGGTGAGTGAGGCTTACGAGGGGGAATAGTCACCACAGTGACAATTCACATTTGTAGGGAAAAAATAGGAGGTAGGAAGATACATATCTTCAAAAATGTTTATGCTTTTGTTAAAAAAATCCCTAAGCAACAGCGTCTGGAACTCAGCAGTTCTCAAAGCCATGGATGTAGAGGTGCAGTTGGATACAGTGAAAAATTTGTCTGTGATTCCACATAGAGTGGAATTTCACTCTCAAGAAATCAGATTTAGCATAGATCATACAGGACATGTTGTAAAATAGCCTACCTAATAACTGAGATAAGCAAAATTTTCAGTATTTGGTCCAAGAAGGAAACTATAAGCTTTGCCAATATAAGTGGAATATGCTTTTAATCACTATGAGGAGGTGGCATTCTCGGTTGGAGAGGCAAAGAAATGCTTAAAGAAATAGGCACATATACATTTGTGAAAGTTAAATGGGACTTTTTGCTTCACAGAAGTGGGCAGCGAGACAGAGAGCAATGTGGATTCTGAGTTTGGACGGACTCATTTTGATGATCTGGTTCCATCCCCGACGTCTGAGAAGGCTTTCCTGGCGCAGATCCACGCCCGGAAGCCGGGGTACATCCACAGCGCTGCTGCCACCGGCTCCATGCGCAGCGACATGTGGGTACCTGCCTGACACCCCTTCCTCATCTCATCCTTCTTCCTCTGAAAGCACTGTGCATCACACAGTATTTCCTCTCCCTCTCAATTATTTGAGAAAGAAAGAAAGAAAAAAAAAAGCATAAATCCAAGTGCTTCCTGGTTACATACTAGTGGGCTCTGTAAACAATAAAGCCTGGAACTTAGGACTCCCTCAGGAGTGAGCTGTCTCACATCCAGCCTGGAACATTCAGGCAGCATGGAGGCTGTGGGACAGCTGTTTTCCCAAACATGCCCTGCAGTCCCAGTCCCTGTTTATCCAGATTGAGAGACCTGCTAGGGCTCACTGGAAAAGGAGAAATGTGTAAATGGAAAAGCAGAATGCATTGACCTACTCAATTGATGAAGAAACAGATTGATTTTTACAACTGATCTTTCCTTTTGGAGACAATAGACATATTTCTAGTTATTTTTAGTTCAGCCTCTTTGTATGAAGTTATTGAGAACTTTTGTTACTCATTTCCTTAGGGGAGTGCCTTCAGCAGAATATGCCCTTTGGTGTACTTCATGAGAGAGGGAAATAACAGAAGTGTTCTCCACTGCCAGGAAAATACTAACTGGTGGAGCATATGGCTAAAGTATCCCACAGTCCTCACAGATTACAATAAGGGGAAGTTTTATTGGCTCTGAATGTCATTCATCTTAGGAGGCTATTTATTAATAATTATCTTTAGGGTTACAGAAGATGGAGACCCTTATGTCAGAGCAGATGATGAAAATTACGAGAATGACTCTGTGCGCCAGCTGGAGAATGAACTGAAAATGGAGGAGTACCTGAAGCAGAAGCTGCAGGATGAGGCGTACCAGGTGGGAAAGGACACCAACTGCCCATGTTTCTCCATAAGTGAGAAAGGATCATGGCCCTCAGGTGCCCAGTGCCATCTGACCAGCCCTGGCCTCTGGAGTGTGATCTCTTCTGGGTTACCAGAGCAGCCACTTTCCAAAACTTGCTGCCACCCTCACACAGACACAGATGCATCCAGCCTTTGTGCCTATCCAAGAAGACCACACTGCCTGAGGCACACAGCAGTGGCCCATATGCGTAGCAGGGAAGCAGGTGGGACAGAACTGCCTCTGGGCTTGTTCTCTGCCCATGCCTGCCACGTCACTTAGAGCTCATTCCCCACTACCACAGGTGCTGCTTGGTCATGTCAAGATGACCTGCTATTTTCATATCTTTTTTTTTTTTTTCCCTCCAATCACAAGAAACATTCATAAGGTTTCTCCAGTGTGAATTGAAGCTCAGGTGCAGTCTGTGTGTTACTGTCATTGCCAGAATCTGGAGGTACAGAAAAGGGTCTGGAACAAATTGTATCCCAGAGCACCAAGTATTCAACAAGCATCTGGTGCAGAGAAGCCTGGCGATTTGTTATTAAACACCCCCCTGAGGAAGCTCTCAAAAGGCATTTGTTTAAGAGTCTGAGCAAAGCAAATATGCCAGGGGGAGCTGGAATTCTGTAGATGCCCATATTTGCATCATGGTCTCCAATTCTACCTGGTGTTGCAGATTATTGCCAGATTATTGTTTTCAGTTATTCTAACTTGGAATATCTGAATATAAAATAAATTTCTTCTTATAAAGTTAGAAGCAGTGTCAATAAGAGGGAAAACCTAGTTCAGTTATTTAGGAGCAGAGCTGAAACAAGCAAAAACAACTTTGTTTCTACATAGTGATCAGCTCAAATTTGGACCTCACCCCTCAAGAACATATTAAATGGGGTACAGTAACTAAATTAGACATGTTCTGAGAGACCAGATGTCTGCAAATGAGGTTCAAAATCACTTTATGGGCAGCAATTCTTTATACTGCTAATTTCTAGGAGCTAATAAAATCTAACCTTCTTTTCTGGTAATTTTCTGGTAATGTTCAGTGCTGGTCACTTTGGAGACAATCTATGTCTGACAGGCTTGACTTGTAATGAAGATTTGCTGCTCTTTTGGTCTTCTTTTCTGTAAAGCTGGTAGGATATATTAGTCTTTTAAAAGTTCATTAAGTCTTGTCAAAATTTGAGGTAACTTTGAGGTTATTGTTGATGTAAACCTGCTTCATGCCTGTGGTAGGTTGCCAAATTTCATTTAATTGCAGAGATCTTTAAGGACATGACAAAAGGAGCAGGATTGTTATAGATCATTTATTAAGGCAACAGCAGGTGACATAGGGGGAATTGTCAGAACTTTTTATCCAAGATAAGACTTGTCAAAAATCACAGCATTTAAACTTCTGAACAGGATGAACAGCTACTGCTGATTTAATGAAACATATTTGTCAGTTTAGAGAAGGGGTGCCTAAGTAGTCACAGCTATCAGGCACCAAATAGTAAATGTTATTCTTGCTGGTAAAAATTCCATGTTCTTCAGAAAGAACAAACAAACCAGTTTGACTGTATTTTGATTACAGTATGGAAGTGCAATATATGGCAACAGTGTTACTTGAGTTTCACAAGTTACAACAGTATTATATACATGCATAAAATTCAATATGTATGTGCACGAGAAATAAGGGCAGGAGAAGTTATGGATGTCATTTGATGGCACTGGGTGTTACTCTTGCTTCAGTCAAAATAATTTTTCTGCTGTTTTCCACCAACATTCCCAGGAGAAAGGAAGGAAATCTTCTCCCTATTAACATCAGAATAAAACTCCTGAATTTAGGTAGGCCAAGACTACACATGAGTGAAGTTTATTCCCCGTTGTTTTACATTACTTGTTTCCACCAGGGGACAAAAACAGACAAAAAACCCAACACACATACACACACACTCCCCTGGCCAAAAAAATATGTCAAAAATATATTCACTGAGGGAACAGAGAGTTCTCATTCTAGACAAGTTCTGCTTAACAGCATTTTCTCAGAAGTTTCATGATGTACTTTACTGTCTGTGAGACTGTCAGCTCCTATCAGGCAGTGATTTGACAGTAGTGACTTGTAAGTAGAATCTATTTTTAGTTAATACTACAGCCCCAAAACATGTAATGGCAATGCCTGAGAAGTCCTTCCCAGTATGAGTGATGCCATTTAAATTAGGGAATGGCTTTAAAGGAAGCAAGAAAAGTATTAAGTTAATAGGGACTACTAAAAGGATTAGGAGCTGGTTGGAGAGTGTCATATATTGGCCCCGAGACATGTGCTTTGGCACTAGTTGTTCTCTGCAATTTGCTGTTTATTTGTGGTATTTCGCTCTTCTATCCCTTCTTCTGTTAATATCACTGAGTATTCTAAAAAAGCCACAGCTTACTATTGGAAAAACACAGGAAAATTGGAAAATTTCTGTTTAGGGTATGCTGTTGAACAGAGGCCAGGTCAACTATGCTCATTTGCATCAAACCATTGGAATTTATAACAAGCAGTTTTACTGTTTGTACTCACATATACACTGCATTCATCTGGATTGCCAAAGAAAGCCAGAAGCTGTAGCTATCGTAATGCAATTGTCAGCTGAAAAAATCTGCAAGGAGGAACTCCTACTGAGGGTGCAGAATGGTCACCTCAGTAACAATCTGGTAACCATTTTTATGCTATTAAATGTCTCACTTTGTGTAAAATCAGCACATTTAGAAAAACATGTAGATGTAGTGTAGCATGAAAGATGGTTGGCCCAAACCCACTCTTGTTATTTTGTGTCACCTTGTGTCCAAGAAAGATTTTTGTACTGAACTCTAAATTACTATTAAAAAACTAAGATACATAGGGAAATCAGGGACAGGAAACCTTAGAGGAGGCTTCTTTCTGTCTTTTTTTTTTTTTTTTTTTTTTTTTTAAGCATGTTGTAAATAACAAGTATCTGTATCAGAAAAAAACCCAAACACATTTAATGCACAAGTGTAAATGCTAACAGCGTGTATCCTCCCACATCTGTTTCCACTTTTGTTCTTGGTACAGTCTTTTGCTGATATGTTGTGTAAGACAATTCTCAGTGGGTTTATTTTCTGGGTCCCTAATTGCTCCCTTTATTTCTAGGCTTGTGCATGGCTTTTTTCAGAATAATACACTGCCTGGCTGCTCACGGGCTTAATTTGTTATCTTCCTGTTTTCTGTCCTTTGTTATCTACAGGTCAGTTTGCAAAGTTGAGTGCAATATTCTTCTCTCTCCTCTCAAGTAAGTATTATTATAATTTAGAAGAAAGTTTGGAATTAATCCTCATAATATACATTTCAGTTGCAATGCATCTTGTGGCATCTGAATGTATGTGACAATGATGTTTCTTTCACCTTTTAACCTGTATTGGGATGCCTTGGAATCTCTCTGAATCGGTTCTAATTTATGAATCTGTAGTCCTTGTCCTAAGGATTCCTGTTAAGCCATCACCCTTTTTATGTTTTCCCTTTGTTGACCATCAGACTGAAAACATGGGCTTTTCATCCCTGGGGATGGTGAAAAATATATTAACCAGTACAGAGAAACCTCGTCCAGAAGATAAAGAATCAGATTACATTTTCAGGAGACCTCTGAGTTTAATTCCATTCAGTGCTTTAGTCTTCCTAGGATAACTGAACTAAATAATTTCTGATGAGATCAGAACATCTACTCTAGTGTGTGAAACAACTTATACAAACATTAAAGAAAGCAATCCACCAGCTGCTTAACCACAGATATATCCTCAGATGTGTTGTGGAAGTTTAAAAAGCCCCAAAGAATGGAAGGCACTCAGCTACTATATAGAAGCTGGCAGTTCTATTCCCTGCTGTCCCATTGATGCCTTAGGATTCTAGCTTTTATATTTTTCATATATTTGTAATCCTGCAGTTCTTTAGTATGTAACTCTAAACTCCATATAGAGTGTTAGTTACTGTCTGCCCATTTTGGTAAGACAAAACAATTCCTCTATAGGCCTGAGAATCAAGGACACCTTACCATCTCATGCCCCAAGAGATATAAACAAAAGTGAGATGGGGCTGAGCAAACCTGGGGTAAATTACTTCATTGCCTGAAGCTGTAATTGGAAGATTAACCCCCAATATGCAAATGGACCAAGTTTATTAAAGTGTGAAAATTCATGACCCATTGCCCATTTTTTGGGTGTAGCCCCTGGGGGGGTCTTCATCTGCCTGAAATGTACCTCAAGGCCCTTCAATAAATATAACAGCTTTTTATTCTTTTAATTGTGTATGACCTCTGCTTTTAGGTAGCCCCAACAAGGCATCACCATATTCAGGTCATGTTCCTTACACATGCCAACCTCACAGTTGCAGCGCTGAAGTTACTGCCAAATTCAGCAACTGTGTTTTTCCTCAGGGAGACAGACAACATCTATTTTTATGGAGTAGTCTGTAGCTCTGAACATTTGCCCAGGAAATGGGAGACCACACATTTCTTCTTGCCTCATCTGAAGTCACGGACTCTGCATTTCTGGCTTTCTAGGAGAGTGCAGTGCCGCGCTGTGAAGATGGCAGTGAGACGGTGCTGTCCATCCTGCTGAGACACTGAACCATGGGCTAACGGGAATGGAAAGGGAGAATATCAGAATAGGGATCTCATTCTGGTCTGCAGACTAAGCCTCTTCCTCAAAGCCAGAGCTAAAAGCAAGCAGAGGTCAACAATCAAATGGACATTGGAGCTTGGGAGCAGGGTCATGTTCAGATGAACAAAACCAGTGAACTAGCCTGTGCCAACTCTAACAGGAATTCATATTGTTAGATTTTGAGTGTCATGTTTTATGCTAGACCTCCTCATTTATATGGCAGTATTGATGGTAAAACCTGGCCTGGATTCAAGGAGTTTGTGTCTTCTGATGACAGTAAAATTTGACTGTTAAAATGTGTACCTTGTGAAAGCAGCTGCTAAAGGGTATTTCCAAGGCATCTGTCTCAGTGTCTCTTGCAGCTGAAGCAGAATAACTGGATATGAAAAGCAAATAAACTTCAATACCCAAAGTACTATAAACACCAAATAACTGCTCATGAAAGTTCTCCTAACATTGCTCCTCAGGTTACATTCATTTTCTCAGTAGTCTAAAACATGAGCCAAGTAGAGTTCCCTAAACACTGACAGCCGAAAAAATAAGTTTCCTTACTCGGTTTTGGTGGAGTTGTCAGTTTTAGATCAGTTCATGTGTAAAGGAAAGTAGATATTTCAACAACGTCTGTGTATAACTACGTGTATAGTGGAAATTTTGTATATAACTGAATATAATTACAATTTGCAATAATAAGTAAAAAACCCCTTTTTAATTAGAATTACAAAACTCAGACAATTCTGTGAAAGGCTTCCTTTTTTATTAGGAAGCAGTGCTAACACAGTGATGTGGGTAAACATACTGTCCTAAAAGCCTGGCTTTCTTGAAAATATGTATCCTGTGTCAAATTAGCAGGTATCTGAGACCGAGATACTATCTCATCTCCTGGATGATTTTTGAAACCTTGTCAAAAGGAAAGATTTTCATAGTGAAATTTTTTTTAGCTCCCAGGGGAGCCCTTTGGCCATTACCAAAGACTGTAACATTTCCAGGAGCTATATAAAAGCACAGCCCTACAGAAATTGGCATCCAAAACTGGTGGACTTGGCACTTCACATATCCACAAGAACAAAATGTGTTATGGTACATTATGATAAATACATCTTCACATGGTAAGTGAATCTTCTCAAGATTCACTCTGCTGGGAATATGGAAGTCTGTCATATCTTGTGTATTTTATTTGGTACTTACATTTCACAGCACTGGAAAAATAACTTCAAAATAGTTTATACCAGTCATGGTATCTAAAGTGCTTTTGCAGTTTTCATTGGGCTCTTGTTTGAAGCTTAGAAGCTGCATAAAGAGTTTTATTTCTAAACCCTTATTCAGTTCAATAATGATACAAATACAGCTGACATGGCCCTAGCTGGCCATAGGAAGTAGAAAGCTGGCAGACTTTCTCACACCAATATTACATTTGTGCTTATTAAAAAAAAAAAAAAAAAAAAAAAAAAAACACCAAAGATGAGGAAAATTTGATCAGTTTATTGTAGCTCCTTGTGAGTGATATTGCTGCTGATGGCCAGCCACAGAGTTTTGTTCATTTACTCATTCATCTAAAGTTGATGTTATTTGATTGATGATATTTCCAATCTGTTTACATTTTCATCTTTAAAAGTACTCCGTACAATTTTCCAGAATTGATTTTAAATAGCATCTAATATAACAAATTCCCAAGAGAACAAGTGATTCCAGTAATATATAAAACATAATTATGTTTTCAATTTACTTTTTATGTTAAATATACTTGTTTTATTTTTAGTAAAGAAACAGAGTGAACTCGAGCTTTTCAGCAGGTACTACACAGATCTTGACATTAGGTGAAACTCTGATGTTATTTTACCTTTATCCTCTTGATGGCATTTGTTTTTTTGCCAAGGGTGGCCAATGTGAGCAGAAATCCTGCATTTCAGAAACCGGTTGAGAAGTTGTCATTTTCAATTAGTTGCTGTTGACTCATACAGTGGACGTGTCCTCACTAGACCTACAATTTTCTAGATTCTTCTAAAGTTGTGCTGTCTTAGTGCTGGCACACATTTGGTCATGCCTAATTCATTTATATGCATTATTATAACACGAAAGAAGGTGTGAAAAGCTAATAGAAATCAGACCTAAGGCATCCACTGAGAGGGAGTACAGAGAGGAGGATTTATTGCAGGTTTTGTTCTCAGATTTTAACTGACGTTTTCCCTGTCTTGACAAAAACATAATAATTTCAATTAAAGAATCTGCTCCAGTCCCACTCAAAACATTCCTACTCTCTCAAAACCTTATAACATGAACTGTTCTGGGATCTGAGGCTTTGGGTGTCTGTGAGGAACATTTTCCATTGCAAAAGTGACTGAATGGTTTGTACTGAAACAGGTGGATTTTTTTTCAAATGCAAAAACCCCAAATCGTCTCAAATTTTTGATATGAATGTATTCTTAAAAAATACCATGTATTCAACTTGACTGTTTTTCCAAGGTAGAATTTGTGTTAAGTAACACTTTCATATTTTTCTCATCTCTTGTCATTTTTTTTGAACCTCTGTTTTCATGTTTCCCAGCAGAGATTACGAATTCATCAGATGTCAGGTGATAAAATCCATGGGCCAATGGAAAGTGTGGTCAGTCTAGTCCAGTGTTTTCTGTTTTTCTCTTGAGCAAATACATAAAAGTTAGCATTATCTGGACCATTCCAGTTGAAAATAACAGGAGGATAACAGCACAGTAATTTTCAAAAATGTCTGCTACATTCACTCAGCTATGTTTTGGTTTTCTTTTTGGTTTATTTTTCTCCCTAAGTCCTTCTCTTCTTAGCATGTAGGTGTAAAAACACTGTAAAAAACTGTGACCAAGTTATCAGGGAAGAAGGAACTTAAATTTGTGAATTCAATTCTAAAATTACACAAGTGATAGGGATGTCTTTTGAAAAAATCACTGAATGACAAGTAAGAGAAAAGAACCTGTGGATTAGGTAACACCAGAGGTTAGAAACAGTTTTATATAATGAAAAATCATAAGAGTCTTAATTGGGAATTAATTTTGGCACTTCCAAACATTGCAGTGAATTTAAAGCTCTGAGGTCCATTAGTACTCATTATCTCTTGCAGGAAAGTATCTCTATCCCAGTGCTGGCTGTGGAACAGAGAGAAGCTTGGGGAGAATTTAGAATAACCCTTCCCACAGTCCACCAAAGAGAAGTAATTTATCCAGAAAATATGAAGCAAACCCAAATACTTAACATTACTGTCAATGCGTCTTAATGCATCCCATGTTTCACAAGCCACTCTTATTTTACTCTCATGGTTTATAATGGTACCATCACGAAATATGAGATGTTCCTATATTTTTGTATATTAGGAAACATTTTGTCACCAAAAGAGTTGCCAAGCATTGGAACAGGCCGCCCAAGGAAGTGGTTGAATCACTATCCCTGGAGATATTTGAAAGGCATGTGGATGTGGCACTTGGGGACATGGTTTAGTGGTGAGGCTTGGCAGTGCTGAGTTAATGGCTGGACTGAATGATCTTTTCCAGCTTAAAGGATTCTGTTATTCACATAACTCTGAAGCTGATTCAGTAAAAGTCAGTCTCAGGCAGCTGAGAACTGACCTCTTCCATGCCTTTGATTTGCATTTTTTTGTCTGAATTGTGAAGAGCAAAGCGTTCCTTTGCTAAGATTACCAAATTAGTTTGCAGACTTAAGAAGTACAGGGGCATGTCTGATTTTTAAAAGGTATAATTAAAGATGTACCTCAGAATTTTTTTATGAAACTCTCATCAGACTTGCAGTGCAGGTTTCCTTTGCATTTATCAACAAAATGTTAATGCTTGTCTTTTGTAACCGTCTGACACAAGGAGACACTAAATTAAGATCATCATACCATTTGGCATGCTTAAGTATTATGGAGTGGGGTGGAAGTGTTTCTGCTTGAATAATTAATACAATCAAATGGTCTCAGGAAGGAGAAGCAGCAAACTACCTGACCTTTCTTAATTCATCAGATTTAATTTACCTATTTTTGCCGGAGTAATTTACATTTCATCTCCCATCTTTTAGGCCAGCTTTATGCCTGAAATGAGTAGAAAAGAATTCATGTGTGGAGAGTGGTGTATTATGCTGTGATTATTGTATCTCATGCAATGCAGATTGGTTTTCTCTCTGAGGTAGTTCAAAAGGAAAAGGGATGAGTTCCTTAAGTTAGGAAGGGTCAAATGTGTAAACAGTGTCTTTACAAGAAATGTGCAAGAAGCAGAAGTTTGCAGTATTACCTGACTGTAGATCCTGACATAGTTCTGAGAAGGAGCAGCAGTAACTGATCAAGCACTTTCCACTGCTAGCTAAAACTTTAATGCCTCTTCTGTAGGAATTTAACATACTCACTGATGCTCCAGCTTACAGAGGAACACCAGCAGATACTGGTGCACCAGTGGACGAGGCTGTTCATCAGCTGTAGCACCCAGAATCATCCTTTCAAGTAACTGCAGGTTTTCTTAGACACAGTAAAACATACAAGACATTTACATGTGAGGGGAGGCTCATGATGGTCAGTGGCTGAACAATGCACAGGGTGAATGAACCATGGTTTCACTTTCAATGGTATATTTATAGAGTGATCTGGAAGGGGAAAGTAGAAAGGAAAATGGGAACGTTGCAAATCTGTGTCAATGCAGACTGAGTTACCCCAAGGTCCCACAAGCAGAGCATAAAACAGGCCCATGACAAGGGAAGTTTCCGACTTCCCACGTGGCCTGTAAGTTTCTATTTACAGCTCAAATACCTATGGCTCACCTAGGTAGAATGGCTTTTTCCTTTTTTAAGTTCTTGAGGGATAACTACAGGAATTGGCCAGCTCCCTTTTTCTCTCAAGGAAACAGCAGTTGGAGGCTTTACTTGCTCTGCCTGCGTGGGTGCAACATGTTAAACCAGCATGCTTTAAAAAAACCTTCCATAAAATCTTTTAAAACCTTCCATCAACATTTCTCCACAGGGAAGCTGCAGTCAGACAGACAATGAAAGCTACGTAAGAACTGATGATGAGGAGAGCTGCTTTCGGACAGACGATGAAGAAAACTCAGCTGCAAACTTCACAGAAGAATGGAACCAAGAGGTGCAGCGACTCTTGACAAAAAAATCACATAACTAAATTCTGAGGACTGTAGCACAGTACTTTTGTTCTAAGAGTTGTAGTTTGTAGATGTGTGGTTTTTGACAACAAGACTTTTGTTTAAAGCTAACTTATATTAGCTACATCTTCTGTAACATGGCTCATTACTGGCGAAGCAAACAGACTGACGCGCGTGCTGCCGTCACACACGACGGCGCTGTTAATAACTCACGTGAACCCTTTGCACATGATATTGAACCTGTTCCGTTTACAATGACAATACTGTTTATAGTTAGAAATTTGATTTCTGAATACTTTGAGATTTTAGTAGATCAGTTTACTATACACTGTACATTTTTTTTTCCCACGGGAGAAATAAAAAGCGACAATTATGCATTTAACACTGAACAGTGATACGCCTGAGTGTATATATCTAGTAGCCCAAAAAACAAAGTACCAGACTATATTTGCAATTTGTTTGCAAGTCTTTGAATTAAGGCTTATACAAAATGTACTAAAATAATAATAATATAATTAATAATAATAATAAACTTCTCTAATTTAGGGCTAATGTGTAACTTAGGAATGTTTCTTTCAAAATAATCTAACAAATCAGCCATAGAAGTTAGTGTAAATATTTTTTTTCCAAATAGATATCATATACAAAAGGTGACATTCAAATGATATAGAATCTAGTTTTTAAATCAGCACAGATCTTCTTAAAACTGTGAACTATGTTTTGAAATACTCGTTGCTAAAGCTGTTTATAAACCACAGGTGCCATAAGATCCCTGAACTGACTGATGTTACGTATAATCCTCCATGGTATTGTTTCATTGATGTTTTAGCTTTAGTAAGCATGTGTTCAACAAACCAGCTCTTTCCATCTCTCTGCCCCTCCTCTTCCTCCTCGCCCTCTTCCATTATGTTATTTTCGAGGCCTTCAGCTTTAAATGTACAGGCTTAAAGTGCGCTTGCAACTGTTTTCTTTTGATTTCCAAATGTGTACTGCCTTAGCCAGCCACCAGATGTTCTGCATGCCCTCTTGGAAATGTGTGATGAGACTCTTTCAGAGCAGGATGGAGAAATAGCAATCAGCGAAAAGCACAAGAAGAGCAGTGGATTCTTGCGAAAGGACAGGCATACAGTTACAGAATTGGAGTTTCGTCCAGTTTAGTATTTTTCCAGTATCAAGGCATTTCAGGAGAAAGGGGCCTGATGTGGCCATTAGGCAGTGAGGCTGCTGCCTGAAAAGTGTTTGCTCTGCTGTGACTACGAACCTACAGATACTCCTGAGTGGGCATTGACACAAACTAGCACCAACGTGCTCCCCAGAGCACCCTGCTCCAAAACAAAGGTGACACCTCTGTGGCACACGGCACTGCCATGCAGAGGGACCACAGCCAGGCCAGGGACAGCTGGAGCAGCAGCCGGGCAGGGACACCAGGAGGTGTTCCATGCTGGCCGCCTGGCCCTCCTGAGCTGCGCAGTGTTAGCTCGGGGCCGCCTCTGTGCCAAGGCAATCCTACTGCCCTAATACAATATTGGGCTTCCAGTACCTGGCTGACCTGAAGTGACACTGTCTTAACAGCCCTGAGAACAGTGGTATTTCATACAGATATTTCACACCAGCACAGTTTGCCTACAGCAAGTGATGAGATATCCATCTAAAGCTGGTTAACATGGCTTGTCTGTCCTTGCTTTCATGGTGACGTGGATGTGTGCTGCCGTGTTTACATGAGATTGCTATGTAGCTCGACCCAGTAAATCCACTTGTTTGCATGCATTCTCCAGGCTCCTGGCTGTTTCCCTGGGCACTGTGTGTTAGGGAACGAGTATCTGTATGAAAGAGCTGCTGCCACGTTTCATATCATTTTACTGTGTATGCAGATCTCTTGTCTGTATATCCTTGTGTACCTGGACTTACTCTCAGACATCCAAATGCATACTTAAGGGATCCAGATACCCTCATGTAAGCTTTTCATTTTTGCAGTCACTGGTCTTTGCTCCTGGGGTATGTGCTATCCTGGCAAGGCAGGCACCGTATCTTTCACTGTCCCCTCCTCCAACCTCCTCTCAGGAATGAGTTAGCCTCCACTAGTGCCTAGCACTCCATGTTTTAAGCTACTCCCGTGAACCTGTAGACGTTGCTGTCAGCTCAGGATTCCAGGCAAGCATTTCCTGAACAGGGAGAAAACAAGCTAGAACAAAGCTATGTGCAATGGCTGATTATTTCAACCCATGTCAGGTTTAATTGTACCCAAAGTAATAGATCCCTCTCATCACCTTAATGTCTGCGTGCTCATTATCACCATGCTTAAAATAGATGCACTAGACTAAATCCATTGCAAGAGCTTCCGAACTAGGAGTAAGCACTGAAGTTGACTAATCAAGTACCTTTCTTTTAGGCTGGTGTCAACAAGCTGATCCCTTAGGAGTTCTGGGTCCCTTATGCCCTGGAGCTCTGAGATGAAGCACCTCTTAGCTCTGCAAATGTCTATTTTAAGCATTTTCCCAACTGTTAAGCTGGCTGCATTTTCACCCAGCTGGTCTTTTGTCTGTTTGTTGAATATTATTTTGGTTGTGGTTTGCGGTCATTAAAACAAACACAATTACAGAAGAGGTCCCTGGTATGGCCCTTTTCTTAATTACCAATGGCCCACCATGACTGTCAAAACTCCGGGTGGTTTTACTGTCACTGGAGGAAAACCAGTGGTTTGGAATCAGGAGACAGGGATGTGAAGATGTATAGGGTCCTTGAATGTCCAAAGCAAAGGTGGAGAATGGGTTGTCTGTAAGTAGTAATGTTAACTAAACTGCATAAAAAGGTGTGTGGCCTTTGTTGTGATATAATATGTATTTTCTTATATGCATGAGCCAAATTGTTGCATCATAATTTATCATAAGTGTGTCCGCCTTTACTTTCAGTTGTCACCTTCTCCCATTCTTATTGGTTCTTGGCAATTACTGTAGATAGACCTTGTAAATATTGCAGCCTCGGGTTGCTGTAATCACACTGGTTCAATTCAGCAGACGGAGCTGTGAACAACAAGCACTCCACAGTGTCCTGAAGAATAAAGGGCATTTTTACCTTTGAACCAAAAACAAAAAGAAGTATGAAGAGTTACATCTTGAGGCTACTAAGTGCAACGCATTTTTAAAACACTGTACTTGACACCACTTGAGACAGATACGGAGACACTAAAAATGTCACGATATTCATTGGTATTGTAACAGAACTGCTATTGTATGGGGTTTTTGTATTGCTGTTAAGTATTGTTTTGTGTGTGTGTGTTGGAACCTACTGGGGACATGTTATATTTTGAAGTGATTAAACTATTTAATTGTGTGTCTATATTTTGGAATGGAATTATTTCTTCATTAAAAAGATTTTTAAAAGGAATTTATGGAGCATCATATTTGTGGCTTATTTGGTTTTGGATGTCCTGTTCCATGGAGCCCAAACAGCTTTTTTTTCAGTAGGGAAGGGAAGGAAAGTGTGTCTCTGTGTGCAGCAAGTAGTCTTCATCCCTGCCACCACTTCACAGGAGAATTCCCTCCACCACCTTCCACAATGCTTTGAACTTGGTATCACGCAGCACCTGTTTTCAGTGGCCCAAGCAGTTTCTTCTTTCTTCTTTTTTTAATTCTCCATATCTTTAGCAGTTTCACAACTTGAAAATTAAGTTCTCCATCTGTAAAACTCTTACCCCTGAATCCACTTAACAACAATGAAAGTGACCATAAGCAGAAGACATAAGGGCCTGACAAGGTGCCTGGTACAAACTTAGGAGGTGGTACATGGTTCTCAGGAACCTAAAACATCTGCAGTAGTCTAATTTTTTTCTTAACCACTGTGTTTCTCTGGCCTTTCTCCAAGAAAATGTTGGAACAGGCACATTTGAATGGCTTTACCATACACAGTCACATGTTCTTCTGTTACAGATGAACACAAAGTCTGTTATTCCAATTACACTTTTAAGATGTCTTTCCTTGTAGTTATTGGTAATTTCAACTGGTTGCTAACTTAAAAGAGCATGGAGTTGCAAAGCAAGAGCTTGCACTTAAAGCAGCAGGTTTGTGTTCTGATGCAGTGCTTGGGGCTACCTCATCAGGACATGGCAACATCTGGAATGCCCAGTGGTGCAGCTGGGTGTAGTGGCAGTCCTTCCCAGCAGATGCACTGCAGCTGCTGTCCCAGAGTGTGTCATTGACATCCAAAATATCCACAGCTGTGCTCAGAACTGTTAGCTGCCCAGTGAGTTACACCAGGGAGGGGTCTGTTAGATCAAAGCAGTAGCAGCAAACCAAAAATACTCTCTATCTACTTATCAGATACCCCTGTGTGTTGGAAAGCAGATAAAGCCCAGTCTGCTGCCTCCTTCATCACTGACTGCTGTAGTAACCTATAAATCACCAGAGTTTATTTGCCCTAATTCTCCTGTCTACATGTTGACATTCTTCAATAAAGATGACCATTTTACACTGTAAATTGTTTGCCAGATCTGCTGAACTTCGCCTCCACAATCCCAGTCCAAACTCATATCCACATCACTGTAATGTATGTTGACATATAAACTCATGAGGATAACTCTGTTTTATCCATGCATAATCCCAAATTGCTATGTTGCTTCCTAACCCACAATCAAGTCTATGGCCCCTGGGGAACAAAGGAGCCAGAGAAAACTAATTTATAGGCAAGTGCTCTTTTTCTCTTTGCCTCTTGGTTACTCTAACTGCTTTTTGCAAGGAAAATACTCCTATAGGAGGAAATAAATTTGTTTCATTTGCAAAAGTAAATAAATTAGTAAATAAAAATTAAATAAAAATTAAATATAAAATAAATATAATGTGGTCTTTAGATCTGAATAGTTGGCTCCTTAGCTGCATCAGCACTGAACTAGGGGACTAAAAATGTCTGGAATTTTCTGAAAGCACCTGAGAGTTTCATTCAGTAGCACACAATTCTATGGCTGCTCTTCCAAAATTTGCTTAGGCCTATTGCTCAGCAGTTTTATATTCTGCTGCAAGCAGCCCTGAGGTCTGGGTGAAACTTTTAAGAGACTGTTGCAGAGATATGAAGTTGAGTTTATCAGAAAAATGAAATATGTTGGGTAGGAAGAGCAGTCTATTGTTCAAATGTATTGAAGAATTTAATATGCCTCAAGATCATCCTGTCTAATACCCCAGATAATCCGCAGATTAAGGTTTCCCATTTGCTTTCTCCTAAATTACTGCCACCAGATGAGTTACCTGTAGATTAGGACAGCTATCCCAAGCTGTCAGCACTGCACCATCAAGCCTTTGGCTGCAAAAGGCTGAGCAGCAGAATGAGGCTACACTTCTCCCAAGCCTCCCATTCCCCAGGAATGGGAAGGAAACAGGTCCCAAACTGAAGTTTTTCTGAGGGCCCAAAACTCTAGAGCTTTCTAAAAAAGTTGCTTTAGGCTAGCAACCTCCTAGGACAAGGCTGAAGCATGTGCACAGGGAAGGAGGGTAATTGTGCAACCACATCATAGAAAAATGGTTAATGCATAACATCAGTTGGTTAATGCAGCTTGGAGATAATAAAGACCAAAGAGACAGGTGATGTGAAAGAGTAGTTGCTTTTGTGTGTCTTGGTAGGCAATGAAGGAGGCCATGGTGCATTTTGTCATTGGTATGTGATGCTGTAGAATGTAGTTTGCTATTTAATGCAAGATTATTTACTACTAGCAAATTAATTACCTCATGGCTTGCATTTTTTACACAACACTCAGCAGTGGCCAGATGGCAGATGTGTCAGGCCTGCTGCTTGTTATGCTAATTGTCAGCCCGAAAGACTGCCCAGTTAACACTTCTCCCCTGCTTGCTGCAGCCCAGCATTGCTGCTAGACCTCAACATTGCCTGCAGCCAGCAAGCTCATTCAAAGAAGAGGCACCTTCCAAGCTCGTGTTTTGAATGATTTTGTTGTTACTGCTCCATTCAGTTTTGGTCCCTTTTGATATATTCCTGACAAAAAAAAAAAAAAGTTTTCCAGTATGGGGATGCACAACTGTATTTCTCAGCTTTTGGTCTTTCAGCCCCCAGATCCCTTGTAAGCCTCCCCTAACCCGAGGCAGGGGTTCAGAGCATCCATCCCTGCTCCTCCTCCCTCAGGGTGCTTTCAGGACAGGCTGCTCCTCTCCTCTCCTGCACCAACTCTTCTCCTTGTGTCTTTGGTGGTGCTATTCAGCACTTCCTCATGGAGCAGGGGCTGCTGCTCACCTGGGAAAGAAGTTTCTCACTGCTGCCTTCCTGTCCCACTTCCCATGGGAACTGTTATGGTGCCTAGACCAAGTTTTATCCTGGATGGGATCCCTTGTTCAGGTCAAAAAGTTCCTTTTGGACACCCAAAATCCTTTCCTGGTTTCACAACTGAATGTGTTTGTACTCCTGTGATGCACCATCCTATGAGGAACGTCCCCTCCTGCACCCCTCACTGGTGCCTAGTCCAATTACACTCCTTTTTTTTCTTTTTTGCTTATTTTGCTTTATTGTTTGTTCAGGCTTCTGGCACTAGCCTTAAATCCCCTGTTTTGCTCCTACAGTGCTGCTGTGAGTAGGAATCAGGTGCTTAACAGGTCTCTGCACTTCTCTAACATCTGCCTTCATGTGAAAGAGCAAGAGCTTGCATGCTCTGTAAGAAGCACTTTCATCATCATATTCATTATGTAGGTGCAATTAAACTTAGAAATCCCCCTCAAGAGACCTCAGCTCTGACAAACGACCCAATTGTCCTCTCCACAAAGTGGAGAAAACTTGTATTTTAATCCTTTCACGTGGCACTGTGTGATGTCTGGAGTGTTTTCCATTTGCTGCCTATAATAACTGCAGCCTGGCTCTCAGCTCATTTGCCCAGAGACCCTCACAGCCCCCAGCCCCCAGCAGATGGGGAGCCTCAAATCCTGGTTGTTTCAGCTGAAAGGCTGATACTGAAGTTAGTGCAGATGGTAATTTGCACTTGAGGGAGTGCTGTTTCCAGGGAATCCTCTCATCACAAGCTTGCTCTGAGTCACACACTTAGTGGAGGACACTTCACCAGAAACGCATTTTCTGCTACTTTTGGATCTAAGCTCCCACAAATTGATTAATTGAATTCATGTATAAATCCAAGAAGGAGGAATGCAAATCACTTTTTTAAGGTCACAGTCATGAGAAATCTATGCAGACCTGTTCACCAATTAAAAACTGGGTTTATAGAGGTTATACAAAGTCTGCACAGCTCTAGTATTGATTGTTTGTCTGGCAAAGTGATAATCAACAGAAAAATTAACAGGTTTTGACTGCAAGTTGGGATTGCCGAGGCTGATGATGCCCGGAAGCAGAAAAATTAAACTGTTTTGTGTTTAGCTGGGGATGCCTCACTTAACCCAATGGGAGCAAGCACTAAAACCAAATGAAAACCAGATCACTGGTTGAGTAGCTGTTCAGTGGCCAGCTACTGGTTTCCTTGGGAAGAAATTCATTATTCCCCTTACATTTTGCACTGCTGGGAGTGAAACATCTCATCTGCTCAGCCAACACAGCCGAGTGGCAGGTGGTTTTCCTGCACAGGGACACAGCAGACTCAGTGCCACCATGGCTGGGCCATTAGGTACAGCTGAGGTACAGCAGGCAGAAATTTGCCTTAATAGCTCTCTTGAGCTGGTAGCAGGACTGCATCTGGTCAGCCCTTTACTAAAATGTGATGAATAACTGTGGAGTGTTTTCCCTGGCAGCTGAAACCTTTTCCAAGATGGAAATAATGTTCATGTCTTTAGCCACCTAACAGATGAGACAGAAAAACTGGTGTCCTTGGCCAGAAAGTATGAGCCAGCATTATTCTGGGGTGAGGTTTCCCACCAAGCTGTGTGCTAATTCAGAAAGCAAGAACCCTTGTGCCAGATCCTTCCCCTTTCCTTTCTATAGATTGTTTGTACTAATATCTATAATATTTATTGTCTCAACTCTGAATATAAAATTTGGTCAACACATTTAAAAAAACTGGGAAAGGCAAGGCTTGAGTTGTGTTGAGTATCTGCGTCATGCCCTGTTGCCTAGGTAGCTACATGTAACATTCAGGGACTTGTTTCTAGGAATTATGAGCTAGGGAGATAAACAAGCTCTTTTAAGGATGCAGAAGAGAAGGGGACTCGAATTTGGTTTGCTGTATTTACTTTGTTGTGCTCATTTAGACATTCATGGTCTGATGATGACCTAGAAACAGAGCTACCCTGTGGAAGTGTTTGCCTGGCTCCACCCAGGCAGCTCTGTGTGCCCAGCCCTGTGCAATCCCTGGCATGGACACACACATGCACTCACACCCCAAGGAGATCGCTCTTGTTATGTGGAGAAAAGAGCAACATTCCAGATTGCTAAGGGAGAGTCAGGTGTTGTGAGAG